GCGCCAATTTTGCCCATCGATCCGTTCAATTTTCAAAATCGAACTTTCCCCTCGCATACACTCGCCATTGTACTTTCTCCACGCCCGTCTTCGACTAATCGCCAATCTAAATACATACTCTGATCCTTTATTGTTCGCGTATCGCTCCCAAACAGACTCGCTTAATCGAGCCGACGACATTCTTGCAATAATCGACGAATTCACCTGCCGGATTATTAATGCCCACCGCTTGTTATCGCCTTTTCCCCGTCTTATCCACGCGATATCGAGCATTTCTTCTCCACGCACTGCAACGCCATGCCTCATTAATAGACAGCGTGGCCTTAAAGCGATCACGATCAAAACGTCCAGAATATCTCCTCGACTCCTTATAAACTCCCGTGCTTGTCCGGCCTCGGACAAAGTGACACTTACTCGGCCAAGAGCACGACCGTATAGCATATGCAAATGATAGGCGGGTCTACGACAAAATTCCCCCAGGGTATCTTGATGAAGGTAAAGGGGCGACTGGGCTCGAAACCCTACAGTCTCCTTTACCATACGATCCATACGGGGGATTTGGATCAATCCGCATTACTGTCAGCGCCGGTACTCTTACCCATCTTCCCGAATGAGTACGTCGAGCTCTTGCGCTCGTCGGACATATTAAAACTTGGCGATCCGCCTCTTTCGGCCGCGCGACTCTACTCTACCACTCGGCCTACTTCTATTATTATTTCGATTGTCTTAATCCTAATGCGTTTCAATCGGCTGAGGCACGGCCTTACGGGCATCCTCAACGGATAGGAGAAAAAAGTCTCTGAACGCGTGAGATATGTATTCGGTGATTGGCGAGACCATTCTCGTCTCTCGGTAACGAAACTGGAGGCTGTATATGGACTCGCATAGATTTTATTTTCCCTCCCTGCCTCATAAATAAAGCCCTGTGTATACACACATGCCAAAGCATCTTGTATCTTTTTTCAAAAGGGATTCTTAGGAGATCCTGTGCGCAGGTGGTGCGAAAGAATTCTCCATCCTGGTGAATTGCATACCAAAGCCGGATGAAAAATCTTTGTATGCGCAAATTTTGCTTTTTCAGGACTTTTTACCTTTTTAATTTTCTGCATACCTAATTTCTTTTTTATTTTGTCGATTGTTTTGTTTTGTTCTGTTTTGTTTTGTTTTGTTTTGTTTTGTTTATAAACTCCCAATGCTATTTATGCATAATATTTTATCTTAATCTGTTGGCTTTATGAACCGCCGTTTAATAAATGCCTGACTTATACATTATTGCCAAGTTTGTGTGCCAAGTGTCACATCTGTCAACGATCGTCCATCCTCCCATATTAGTAGTTGTATAATTGATATTTGGTACGCTCGCAATCATATTACCGTTAAACCCAACATGAACATTTTATCTGCTTCGCCATCGTAACTTTCGTTCGGACGAATTTTCAAATATTAGAAAATTTTCAATCATTATTATGCTATCATTACTTATTAAATTGCACGTATTGGCGGGGAAGGGAAATCTTTCACAAGATATCGTGTGAGATACAATATAAAATAGAATTATTCGATTTTTATCTATCGGAATAAAGTAATGTCTCTGAGGACATTGTTGAACAATTTCCTTTAAATGACCAATGAAAATACCATTGATAAACCCTAATTAAAGCATAATTTTCCGTTATAAAAAAAAAAAAAAAAAAAAAAAAAAAAAAAAAAACGATGCACAATAATACGATTTGTAAAACCAATAAATATTATTTATGACGCGATAGTAGAGTTAACCTAAGGTAAAAGAAGATCATTATAGATACCTTCGGCCAAACTTACAAGCCAAAAGATAAAAAAAAGTCTTGGGAAAATAATGTGCACTATAGCGAATAAAAAATTACAATAAAAACAGAATGAAACAATGCAATTTAAAGTATATTCAATGATGTTGCCTCAACCATTAACAAGGCTCTTTATTGTGGCGGATTAACGAGCCTTAATAAACCAAGGTATTCAATAATACGCCAATAAGAATCGGCGGAAAATATTATTCATCGTACACGGAGTTGGGAGTTGGGCCAGAAAGATGCACTGAGATGGGGCAAGTACCGCAGCCCGAAAAATAAATCGTTTTTTCCTTTTACACATAAAAGCAAATCGGCATAACATGTAACGGGTAATTCACGTACCGATTTCGCAACATTCAACCGCAGTAAAATAAACGCTTCCGAGTGTACAAGCACTCTTAAGGGATTCAATTACCGCGCTCATATCGTACGTACGACTACATAAAGGGAGGAGCTGTAGTGGCCGATGGTGTCGATGGTCGCGACGATGGTAGGAGTGGTAAGATTGAGAGAGAGAGAGAGAGAGAGAGAGTGAGAGCGAATGACGAGGGGAGAAGGGGGCACATGACGCAACTTGGTTCGAATTAAAACGAATTTCTGGTACGGGATCCCCTCGATTTGCATGGCGAGAGTAACGTCAAGCGGAGCGTAACATCGAACGGGGCTCTCCATCGCGACGCTTCCTACCTGGTGAAACGATACGAGGTCTGCGCCGCGCGCAATACAACACGATTGAGACCGGCGAGCGGGTACTTAAGATATTAACGTTAATAAATTTAACGTCCCTTTAAATACTACGCTCGTGTGTACTTGGGCGCGCGCCAAGATATTCAAATGCACGTGGAGCATTTATGCGTTTTTCAATGTCGGCTCGACTAGTCGTTGGTTACGTTCTGGGTATATCGTCGGTTCTCTCTCTCTCTCTCTCTCTCTCTCACTCGAGTCTTTCATCGATTCGCGAGTAAATAATGCGGTCTTACGTTTGGCAAGAAAATAATCGTAATAATGACTAAGGCATCTAATTTTTCCAATAATACTCAAAGTCAATAAAGCTGCGAGAATTTGAGATAATTGGTCACTCAAAAAGTCTTTGTTACGTCGGGACGTAAGACATTCATTGCAATCGCCGGAATTGCTGAATTTCTGGGCAGGATCCGATCCTTTCAACTTCCCACGAATGACCATATTATACCAAAATTTTTTGTCTTGCGCACAGAGATAATAAATAAAGCCAACGTTGAAGTTGAATCAAAATTTTAGCGATATTTAATTTAATTTTTTCTTTCTCACCGCTTGCTTCTCATAATCGCACTAATGACCATTAATCCAACTTTTCATTTCCTATTATTCGATTCATTAATTTCTTTCGAATCAGCGATTATTAATGCCGCCTGTCAAGCTTCACCCAATGACCAAATGTATTTATTTATTGTCTCTGTCTCTTTTAAGAGCTTATTTATCAGAAAATAGGATGCTCGATCTTAGATAATAATGGGCAAAGTATATTAATCTAATTCGGATCTGTCCTCAGCCTCACCGATGCTACACTTATTTATAAATCATTGGTTTCTCAACCATCAAAATAAAATATAACACCAACATATTCTTTGGATAGCCAATTATCTTCTTTGACACACGGTTAGCCAGTTTAACGGTTAAAGAATTTTTCCGCCGCGCAAGGTGAGTGAGTGAGTGAGAGAGAGAGAGAGAGAGAGAGAGAGAGAGAGAGAGTGAGAGAAAGGCAATAGCCAAGAAGATGTAAAGGCTACAGAAACCCTCTAGGGAGGAACTAGAAAATGTGTTCGCTACGCTGATTCAAGGTGAATATAACTTAGCATTTCTCTTTTTTAACCGACGTCGCTCGCTTCCGGTTTAGATGTACATGTCGACCGCCAAACACGGATACATTTTCTAGAATCCAGTGCCTCCCCAGAGGGTTCGTACTTGTAGACAAGCTGCAGCCGTATAACGCTTTCCCCTTTCACTGCTGTGAGAATCTGTTAACCGTTAAACTTTGCAGAGTATTCGTAGTCAATTAACAGTGCTAAACAAAATTCTTTTTTTTTTCTTCCAGTAATCATTAGTAGTTTGTTAAGAATATATAATTCTTATATAAGCATTCAAATTATTTTAGTAAAAGTAGATTCATTTTATTTTAATTTTGTTGTTATTCTTCCACTCCAATGACACGCTTAGATATCTTTAGCGTTACGTTGAAAAAACGTGAAAGAACTGGAAACTTTATGAATTTTGGCTTCGACAACAACAATAAAAGAATCTTTATTATACTCAATTGGACTTATCGGTCCTTCATTAATTTATTTTGTACAAAATCTTAAACCTATAATACAATTAGCATTTGTATGTAACAAAATATACGATAGCGCAGACGTATACGATCTGTAATTGGCCACACCGGCTCTCTTAAATTTACGTTTTCGGCGCTCCGTAAGCATCGGGCATCCTTTCAATTGTGTACCGATGTTGTGATACATACATAATGGGTACACCTGGAATCTTGCGGATTCTGCGTTTTAGATCTTTATCGTTTGTCGCCACTATATAACATTTGTGCTAAAATTAAGAGGTTTTATATTATATAAGACACTACGTATTTCAAGCATCGGTAAATAGCTTATGCAGTTTATAATATATCCAAATATTGGATTAACCATAAGTTTTGCATTCAAAAGCTACGAATTTCAAAACAAAAAGAAAAACATGAACAACTCACCTGAGTAACTCTATTAACAAGACAGTCATCGGCGTACGTGCCTTTATGCATACAGGGAATTCTTTCAAATCTAGAGTCTTTTATAATTTTTAAAGCCACCTTATATTTTTGTCCTAATTTCTCTAATTCACCAACCACACAGTCTGTGACATAAGGAATACACTTTGCGTAGAGGCATTCCATCATATTCTGTATAATATCTAATTTATTCTTTATTGAAAAGTTAATAAAATTTGTATCCAATAAAATGTGATATGGTGGTCCCAATTGTTCATTATATTCGAAGAAGAGCGCAGAAGATTGTTGCGGCCTATAAAATCATAAATCAAACGATTATTTAAGCGTTTAAAATTTCCATCGTATTATTAAAAAATTAAAAGAAAAAACAAAAATTTTACTCACACTTCTTTGATTTTTATTTCTCTTGGATCTTCGGGTTTCTGCTTTTTAGGAGGAGCACGTTTTTCGCTCTTACTGAAAGTATTTCATATTTTATAATTAATAATATTTTGATAAATTTTCATATAACGCGCGCGCATGCACACGGACGTTATGCACAAACGTTCACGCATGTGTGCATGTGTTTATAATTTATACATAACATAGGTTAGATTTTAAAATAATCGATAAAAAGGTATCGTTGTTTAGCTTACATTCTAGGATCGCTCGGACTAATCATTTTTTTCATTTGAGCAAATCTCTGCATTATTACTTTTCGAGTTTTCTTATTCTTGCCCTAATGATATTAAAAAAAAAAAAAATTACACATGATTACAATGCATAACCTCATTTCAGATAATAAACTTTAAAAATATATCGCAATACCTACCATCTTATATTTTGCTTCGATTTCTATTTGAGAATTTAAATATATAACGTTTATGAATGGCACTTTATCGAATACTTGATAGTAATCACCATAATCACATGCTTCACGTTTTGCCACGTGTAAACAGGAGTTATGGCTAATCTGCTACTAAACACACGCGCGCGCACGTGCACACATGTCACATGCACGCACACTCGCGCGCACGAACATTGAATTCAACAAACTGTGCACAAACATGGTATATTCTATAAGGCTAGGCAATTTTAAAACAAACAGTATATTTACCATTATAACTATGATTAATGTTACAGAAACAATAATTGTCAAATTAAGATTAAACGTGGCCATGTTATCGAAGAAAAATTCAAAAGGAATTACTTGAAAATGCTCGTTTCGCTACAATCGATTACTTTAAATGTAACAATACTTTATGTGCTTTTAAACATTATTAAAAGAAAACAGAGACTAAAAAAAAAAAAGAAAAAAACAAAAACAAAATAATAAATACACTCTGAAGCTTATAGAGAATGTTAATAAATAATGTAGTGGTAACGATATTCCATACGTTAGTACGCGTCGTTTAATCAATTCTCTTATGAATTATATTATCCACATATTAGCAAAATTATTCAATTATATGTATTATTATTGCTTAACAATTCCTTACGACTAAGCTGCATTAAATTTATTATTAAGTAAATTAAGTAAAATGGGAATATTCATATGCCATATGCGCCAATAATTAAAATAATTCGTAATTCGTAATTCGTAATTAACAATACGAAATGAACAATACGAAAATATCAAATTTAACAATACTGGAATAAAAAATTATTAAAAAATTAATAATATTTTGAATATTAAACATTGAATATGTTTGATGTGAAGAATATCTTAATTTTTTTTTTTATTTAATTCAACAACTTAAGCATCAATTTTCATTTAAATTTAATACTCGTGCGTATTGTGACTGCAGCAAAAGCATTATGCGGTATCTCACATTAGTTCTGCTATTATTCCATTATCAAGTATATAAATAATAGAGAAAAAAGATAGGGACCGTAATTGAAAAAGTACCAACAACATCGTCATCTCTGTAGATTAAACTTGGAGAGTTTGGTTGGTTTGGATCACGTTGGTTTGGAGAAAACGAGCGAATAAGAGATGAAGAGATTGTAGACATCGGTAATCAGATTCCCGCTAGTCGGCATGACACGTTGGCCTTTCCTTTTCAGATTAAAAATGTCGCTTGTTAGTATTTTACACACCTATTGTGTTTAATTAAGTGATATTTAGTGTAGTCGGCATGTTGTACATTAATAAAGTCATATATTTTTCTATACGAGATTTGTGCTGACGTACTGTAAAATTTATTATACATGCGTACGTAACTGTGTTATAAAAGGTGAGTGTTGATTAAATGGAAATAAAGATTATAAGCTGCTGTCGGAATTTTCGGATCAAATGAAATTTAAATGTTGATGAGACGGGAATTTGTTTGAAGTAAATTATAATTGTAAATTACTGTAAATTATAATTTAATTTATATTGGTAATATGTTAATTATTCATGGCTTGATAATATGACATTTTTAAATTGCATTATCATGTTGCCTATTTATTCTATTAAATTTTATTATAATTTTATTATAATCAAACGATAGTTCGATAGTATTTCATTACATTGGCATTACATTCTATTTACAACGTTTGCTAAGCTCGCTAATTAATTTCTAATTTGATTATTCGGATAGATTCAAGGGAGATCGATTGACATTTTTTAAATCAAATCCTCGCAAAGCGGACCATACATTTCTATCATATTGCTTTAAATTTAACATGATGATTTATTTAATTTTTGTTCAGACTTAAAGGCAGAAAAATGAGAATTGTACAACTTAGAAGAAATCGGGTAGTTCACATTGTATTAGGTAGTGCATTTGTACTTTTGATTTTCTATTTTATATATTCGATGCCACGTGATAAAGTTAAGGGGTTGAATAAGTATTTACCGGAAAGCTTACAAAGCCAACAGGTTGGTAAGATTTTATCGATAATTATTTTACATTTATGACGTAAAATAACATTTTTTTCTATAAACTTTAGGACCACGTACCTGAATATGTTAAAGGTTTAGGCAATTTTGAACCCAAAGTTAATACAAAGGTAGGACCTGGCGAAGATGGAAAACCTCACATTTTACGGGATGATCAACAAAATGATGCTCAAGAATCCGAATCGGCTTATGGCATGAATATTTTATGTTCTGATGAAATTGCCTTGGATCGAACCATACCAGATACAAGACCAAACGAGTTAGTTCCTATAAAAAATAATATCCTAAAATTAGTATACAAATGTATAGAGATGAACTTGCTAATATAACGCCTTCGTCGTTTACACGATAATTATATAGAATTTAATTTTTTCAGATGTCAACATTGGAAATATCCAGAAAGTTTACCAAGAACCAGCGTTATTATAGTTTTCCATAACGAAGGCTGGTCAGTTCTTATGAGAACAGTTTATAGTGTTATAAATAGAACACCGCCGCAATTCCTTGAGGAGGTCCTCCTAGTCGATGATTTTTCGGACAAAGGTTATTATTTAAATATTAATTTTGCCCTACTCCAGTATGTATCACTAATTTCTAATTTTCTATCGTTTAATCGAATTGTAAAAATCCTAATTTAATAATATTTTGAAAATCTTTAGAGAATTTGAAGGAAGATTTAGAATCTTATATCGAGCAATGGGCAGGTAAAGTTAGACTTTTGAGAAATTCAGAGAGAGAGGGTTTAATACGTACAAGATCTCGTGGGGCCAGGGAAGCCACCGGTGAAGTTATTGTTTTCCTCGATGCACATTGCGAAGTAAATTTAAACTGGCTACCACCGCTACTTGCTCCAATAGCTGAAAATAAGTAAGATACTTTTTACTTTATAATATGTATAACGAACTTCTAATTAAATTGATAATAAAAGAAAAAAGAAAACATAATAAAAAGAAAAAAAGTGTCTTAAAAAGCAGCAACAACTTAGAAAATTTTTTTCTATTTTTCTATAATAACTTTTCTATTTTTTCTAGTAATGTAATGACCGTTCCTATAATCGATGGAATTGATCACAAAACTTTTGAGTACAGACCAGTTTATCAAGATGGTCATTTATATCGTGGTATTTTTGAATGGGGAATGCTTTACAAAGAAAATGAATTACCATCGAGAGAATCAAAAAGTAGAAAATACAACAGTATGCCATACAGGTTAATAATATATATACTTATATTTATTTACTTCTTAATCGATGAAAACATAAGTTTCATTTAAGAGATATTCTGTCATTTTTGTACTTCAGGCGAAATACTTTGATGCTCAATTTTTAATAATATAATTGAAAAACGAATCATCGTACAAAATTGTTATTTACTTCCTTCGTACTTTTAGATCCCCGACTCACGCAGGAGGTCTTTTTGCTATTAATCGAGAATACTTTTTGTCTCTTGGTGGATACGATGAAGGTTTGTTAGTTTGGGGTGGAGAAAACTTTGAGCTTTCCTTCAAAATCTGGCAATGTGGAGGTAGTATCGTTTGGGTTCCGTGCTCTCACGTTGGGCACGTCTATCGAGGATTCATGCCCTATAATTTTGGAAAGTTAGCGCAAAAAAAGAAAGGGCCTTTGATCACTATCGTAAGTTATACTTTTCGTTTGCTATCGCAGATGCATTGAAGACCTTGAAATGAAAGAAAATCATTGACATTATTATCATTGAACTTGTTATCAATGTTATTCAAACATTTGTGATATACGCACACACACGCATACACGCATACATACGTATATGCGTGCGTGTGGTGAGAGATTTATTTTTTGATAACGTTACTTTATCTAACGTTTACTCTTTAATTTTAGAATTACAAGCGCGTTATCGAGACTTGGTTCGATGAAAAACATAAGGAGTTCTTTTATACGAGAGAACCTTTGGCTAGATTACTCGATCACGGGGACATATCAGAGCAATTAAAATTTAAAACACGAAAAAGATGCAAGAACTTTCAGTGGTACATGGACAATGTAGCCTACGACGTACTCGACAAGTTTCCTGAACTACCTCCAAATATTCATTGGGGAGAGGTAATGACTTTCATAATTACATTATTTATCAAACTATTTAAAACAATTACGAGCGATCTTATTGTTACGAAATTTCATTGACATTTTCGTAATTAGTTAAGAAATGTCGCTACCACTACGTGCCTCGATACAATGGGACATGCACCACCTAATCTTATGGCGACTTCTCATTGCCATGGCTTTGGAAACAATCAGGTATAATATACATTTCATTATAATTAATTATCGATAATTTATAATATTAACAGCTGTAATTTTGTCATTTTCAACGTAGTTAATTAGATTAAATGCAAAAGGGCAGCTTGGAGTCGGTGAACGGTGCGTTGAAGCAGATGGCCAAGGAGTGAAATTGGCATTCTGCAGATTAGGAACTGTCGATGGACCGTGGCAATACGATGAAGTAAATAAATAAATTTCTTTTATTTTAAATTCGCGTCACTCGCCTGCGATCCAATCACTTTTTACAAATATAAGTAAAAATGATGAAATATAAGAAAAGCTCGAGTAGCATTATAGCATTAAAGTGAATAAGGAATCGTGATTCTTATGATTACATTTGCTTAATACTTTTCAGAAATCTAAAACACTCCTGCATCGGGTTCACAAAAAATGCATGGCTCTTCATCCACAAACACATCACTTATGGATAATGCCTTGTGACATTAATAATGCCTATCACCAGTGGACATTTGTTCAAATCAATCCTCATTGGTAATAAATAAATCTGTTTAAATTGTTGGATCCAATTAAATAATAATAACTACTTCGCGCACAATTGCACAAATTGGCAAGCTAACACAATATCAAAATACCGAAAAATCAATTATGTAAGAGATATATATATATATAATTGATCAATTATACGTATACTTTAATCAAATATTCAGTAGAAAGAAAAGAATGACTATTGTGCAAGGAGAATGAACAAATTCCATAATCCGCTTAGATTAATTGTTTTTAGTTTTGTTATCTGTATAATTGAGTAAAGCGGTAACAGTGAAGACTCGCTCACATTATAATTAAGTTGAAAATAATAATTTCTTTTTTCTTCTTCTTTTTTTAAAATGCCTTTAGATGAAGCAGTTTATTTATCATTGGATCATAAGGAATCATCTCATTATTACAGCAATACTAAATCTTCCAAGCGACTACTAGAAATTAACGAATACAACTTTTTTAAACTGGTAAAAAATTAAAAAATATTTTTCATACAAAAGATGATCTGCCTGGTTACGAGACAATCTAATTAAAAATGCAGGAAGTTAGTTTAAGTTTTTTTTTTTCTTTTTTTTTTTTCTCTTCATATTATTATAAATGTTAATATAATTGGACAATTAGATTGGAAGAATGGAAGTTAATATAACTGACTTAGTTGATTGCTCGGTAAGGATATTATTTTAAACCGAGTTTGCAATAATTTTCTTTTATTTAACATTTTATCGAGTATTGATATATACTTATTGTGAGGTATTTGTTCGTTTAAATTTGGATACAGTTTATGTATATTTATGAATAGTCCGTATGAAAATAGATATTAGATATAAAAATTAATTCGAAGTTTGGTTCAACTATAATTTTATATATTTTTAACTTAAGAAATTATTTTCTTTTTCATGTTTTTTTAGCATATGCAAGTGATTATTAAGAATCAATCACGTATATTTTAATTCCGAGATTGAATTAATTTATATAACTAATGTCAAAATGTACGATAATATATCATTGGAAATGTTATATAACTTATGAATCGGTTAGTATGGGTGATAGAGTAATGAAAAATGAATGAAATTATATTTAAAATATTTATTTGCATTCCAATATTCAAGACTTTTAATCTTGTGACTTAAAATTTTGTAAAACTAGGTAGCAATATATAGAATTTTATTATTTGTTTATTTATTCAGATTATTATTATTTAATGTTAAGAGAAGTAAATTTTCACGAGAATTGTTTATGTAAAATACGAAATAAATGAATGTATTGCTACCTATTTTAATGGTAATTTATCAATTTGATATTGGTGTACTTAATACGAGACATATTATTTTTTTCCAAGCAAGTAAAGCTTAACGCGAGAAGTTTAAACCTAATAAGATTTAGTAGCTGAAAATTATTTTATTACAATAATGAACGAGTGAAAAATGTTTGTAATAAAATACAGATTTTTACAATATATATATATATATATATATATATATATGTCTATAAGATAATGTTATAAGAAAAAAATGTAAGGAAATATTTTTTTTATAAAAAAAAAAGAAAAAAAAGAAAGGAGAAATAAACAAACACATTTGTGATATATTTGAATTGTTTTAATTAATCTCAACTTACAATGTTTTATATAAAAAATTATCAATCTTTTTATAAATGAAATGGTCTCGACGATGCTTACATATTTTATTAGTTAATATGAGAAATGCGGTCACATGTGTACTTTAAGTTAAAATTACCAAGCTTATATATTACATGAAAATCCTGGCTAACGTTAATTAGATTTTCTAAACTATATGCAATATATTTTATAAATATTTAGTAATTTTAACTTTTTACGATATTTTATTCATATGAGCTTCACAGGCAATTCTATTATGCAATTTATGTCTCAGAGTTAAAGGCATACCAATCAATCTTAAAGACCTTGGTGTCGTTTAAACAACGTTAATATTAAAATTTACTGTCTTGTACTGATAATGTCGTCGATCTTCAAAATGCTGCAGACTGTCTCGGTTGCAAGATTTATAGCACTTACTGAAACAAGTAACGGTTGCATCACATTTTCTTCAAACATTTGCGTAATCGAACCCTTGCGCACGTTTATACCCATATCCTTTATAGTGCCTGTATGGAACTTTCTCAGTTTTGTAATAGTCGAAATTGGATTTAAACCCGCATTCTCCGCAAGCGTTAATGGGATAACCTGCAAATTAATTTAAATAAATACAATTTTTTTGTCTTTCATTTCAAAATACATTAAAGAGTCGGTAAATATAAAACAAAATCTTTTACAACATACATTTTTATTAAATTAATCTTATTGATGGAAAACATTGTACCGAAAGCAAAGCAAATTTAATTGAAAATTTATTATATATATATATATATGTTTAATTTTTATTTTTATTCTTTGACAATTGTAGATATGTGAAAGAGATAGGTTAAAGACAGTTATTTTATTTAATTTTCTCAATAATATAAAAGTTATCATCGGTATGAAATAAAAACGTTGCGCTTGTGCGAAAAACGGGATAATTTCTAAGCTGAATTACGATGGATTTTTTGACATTTTATATATTACATAGAAATGGTGAACTCACCTCGAGAGCATTAGCATAAGCTTTAAAGCAATAAGAATAAACTCCAGTCATTATCCTTGACATGGCTTCGAGTTCTATGGATAATCGAATTTCCGGCGCTCCACCACCAGGGAGAACATGATTATCTCTGACCAAACAACGACTTACGCACAGCGCATCATGCAGAGATCTTTCAGCCTCTTCAAGGACGAGCTTGTTACTGCCACGGACAATAATTGTCACTGTTTTACCTTGATTTTGCGCTCCTGTAATCTGCATAAAAACGTAAAGCATTAATTATTCAGTTTTAATTAAATGTTTCGTAATTTTTACGTAATTTTACCATAACAAATTTAGAGTTGCCAATTTGAGTTTCTTCGCAAAGCTCGGCACTGACGAGATTTTCAGCAACAAAATGATCGACTGAAGCAATTGGTCGACAACCCAATGTCTTACAAATGAACGGAATATCCTCTCTTTCGATATCTTTAATAACCATGCACTTGATCTTATCGAGGAAATGAATTGCTAAATCGCTAAGGGCATCTCGGAGAATAGATTTCTGTACGAGTAGAACATTGCAGCCAGCTTTTTTGATTTGTTTAATAATATTAAGAATGTAAGCCCTTTCTTCTTTGAGTACTCTGTCCATCGCTGAGTAATCAGAGACAATAACATTGTGGTCCATCTGTAATATATATTGTTTTTAAAGCTCCGAATCATCATTAAAATGTTGTTATTGTCGCGTATAATTACATCAGTTTTTGGAGGTGAGATGCAAAATTGAATCAGACCAATTTTTGCTTTCTCAATGCGCTTAGGACCATTGACATTGCATGATTTTTGTGGAAAAACTAAACCGTCGATAAGTTTTGTATCCTCGACGGTACCACCCAATTTTTGAATAATTTTGATGTCCTATATTAAATAAAATAATATATTTAGTATAATGATTAATATTGATATGACACATTCTATTAATGAGCTAGTTAATTTTGCTTTGAGAAACCTTTAAGTCTACGATTTGTTCTTTGACGGGCTCGACCACTTTCAAAACAGCATTAACAGCAATCGGTGCCAAAAGACTGGAGTACTGTGAGACGACCTATGAAGAAAAAAAAGAAAGAAAATATTTTACAACAAAACATAAAGAGATCGATTGACTATGACGATCGACAATAAATAATGGAATGAATTACGTTGAATTACTTTAGAATTTAAAGATGTAGCAGCTACTTTAATTATAGAAGTGTCATCGCTAACTGAAATGGTTTCTGCCATATTTGTCAAAATATCTACGGCTGCTCCAGATGCCTTTTGAAAAGCATCGCTAATTAAAGTAGGATGAATATCTTTTTGAAGTAAACGTTCAGCCGCTTCTAAAAGAGCTCCGGCAATCACAACGACACTAGTAGTACCATCTCCGGCTTCGACATCTTGCGCCCTCGATAATTCTACCAACTAAAATAATAAACAAAATTAATAGAATTTAAACTTTCTGTGAAAATCTGTAACATAACAACAGTGCCGTCGTATTATTTAAAAGTAATACCATTTTTGCAGCAGGATGAATGACATTCATTTCTTTTAAAATAGTGGCTCCATCGTTTGTAATAGTAACTGCACCATTGCCAGATTGAATCTGAAAAGTTTCCAATCATTATGTTGACTATAATACAGATGATTTATCCATGTTTTATGAAACGTTGTTAAGTTACCATTTTATCCATTCCCCTGGGTCCCAAGCTTGTCCTGATGGCATAACTGACAGCTATTCAAAAAAAACAAAAAAAAAAAGCAGTGTTACATGCTTATTATGTACATTCTATTGTAACATGTTTACATGTTAATTCTATTGACTAATGCATTAAAGTGAATATTTCATTGAAAATATTCTTTTTAGGTATTTTTTTTCTCTTTTACAATAATGAAACATTTCTTTATTTAATTTAGTTAATTACATTCGTACTTACTTCTAAATTTATGTTGGGAAAAAAAAAAAATAAAATAAAAAAAAAATCACTTATCCAACGTTAATATCATTGAAAGGATTTTCTTTTTTTTTATATTTATATTTATATTAACAATCTGGAAATTTTCGCACGACCGAGCAGAGCAAAACTACTATAAGCCTCTTTATATTGTTTTTTTTTCTTCAACTTTTAGTAATAACGTATTAAACGACACCGTGAATAGAAGATTGTGGACATTCAATTGCCTAAGACAATTGTAACTGTTCCGGCAGCGTTGTAACCTCAACCGTTATCATCCATTCGCAAACGTCAATCGAACTTTATTTACTATTAAACCAACTTAATTCTCAAAGAATACAAAAAAAAATAGAAAAAATAGAAAAAAAAAAAGAAAAAAAAATTAAAAAAAAAAATAGAAAAAATATCCGACTGATAAATTCTTTAGCTTCTCGCATGCCGGCAACACTGGCATGGCCATAAAAGTCTCGTCGCTCTCCCTCTCGCTTCTCGCACCTTTAGCAATAAATTATCACTTTCCTAGTCGTATCGCTAACGCAACCGAGCACAATCCACAAATGCACCCAAATTTCATTTTCTTATGAAAACTAATATGTGGTTAAAGAACAAAATTATAGTGGCACCTTTAGCTGCATTAATGTTGCTAAAACGAATATCCGTTGGCTTGCTTTTATCCTTGTAAGCCGCCTGGCGAATTTCACGTTTTCCCTCGATTCCCGTCATCTTTCCCACCTTCGCCTTTACAATTGGCCGTTAAAACGAATGCCGAACTATCTCGACTCGACCTGGCTCGATTCGAATTCTCACAATTAAAACTTCCCTTTCTCGTAATTCGCACGAGGAGGAAAACACGAGGTTAGCGAGATGATATCTTTTGCCTGTTAGTACTACCGCAGGGTAACCACGGCATACATAGATGGAAGAACTCGAGGGCCATCGGATGTGGAGAGAGACATAGATAGGAGATGAGCACTGACAGCCGAAATCCTCATTAGAGTGACGTGAGGCGCGGTTAAGGACCCGCGTTTCTCGAGTATTATGAATGAGGGGGAGATTTCGCGCGAGATTTCGAAGCCCTTGAAACGAAGGAGCGTTTCGAATCCTGAAGGATATGCACTCCTCGCTCCACTCCGGGAGCGCTGAATTACGACTGCGAAGATGCAAACGAACTTGGTGCCGTAACGGGACGTTATAAACTACTCGGGTTGTAAGCATCCATCACCGAGGACGCCCACGAGGATTTGCGAAAGCGATTTTTATTATTTATTTATGTAAAAATCAAATCTTTATCAATTATGTAATAATGCAAATTCAAAAGACAACGTAATCGCCGTTCCATTTCATCTGGGCCGCCGATATCATTTCGCGGACATTCCGGTTCCGCGGTTGAAGCGACGCCACTGCCTCTTACGAATAATTCCCGAAGCTCGATGACTCGTTAATGGATCCAAGTGAAGAATTGCCGTTCTCGATGCTCTCGACGATCACCTGTCCGGACATCCGGTTTCCACGGATTTGCCAACGACCCGGGTCACGAAGCTCCCTGGGTCGCCGGGCGCCAAATCTCGCCTTCCCGTTTTGCAAAAATGTATGCGCACACACGGCTGTGCATCGTGCAGCATTGAAAGGAATAGAGCGGCGAGGTGACTTTATTTAAAAATTCAGCTCGATCATCGGCCGATTATTATTTCTTTAAGCCCGATGATGTCAATAATAGGGTAAAGTAGGGAGAATCCAACTAGACGAACGAATAAAAGTAAACGAATCGTAAGAGGCAATTTTTCATGATTTATTTGAATTTACAGATATAGGAATTGAAGCGTGGCCTAGAGACTTTAATAGGATTAAATTTTACTTGAGATATATTCTATTTCAATTGCTAAATGCGTTTTGCGGCCCTTTCAATGCCATTCACGACCTCGCCCGCTCAATATTCATTTGCCATATATAATAATCAAAATGCTTGTAAAAAAATGAATTTTTAACTACTTGATTAGAAACATGAAGAGGGTAAGGGAGAAAAAAAAAGAAATGCTATTAAGCACGTAAGATGGAATGATGTGCGGAAGCGAAATTTGTGAATAGTGACGATGAGAATGGAATAGCAGTTGGCAAGTAATAATATGCTAAAGAGGAGATGAAAGTACGCGACAACAACGCACGCATACATACACACACAATTGTAAATACTGCGTTAGTGGCTTTTTTAGTCAATAGTAAGTAAGTAAGTGCCATTAATTAATAATAAAATAAGAAATTATAAATTGCATTCACAATATCTTTATTGAAAATAATATAATAGCGTGTACGCGTTGAGACGCGCTTTGCCGCAATTACGATCAATTGTCTTTATTTTAAAGGGTTTTGCCGAGCGAAGGTGACATTCACGTAGGTGCAACGGTGCCGTGGTATGGCACGTGATTCATCCTCTGTAGCTCCCATGCATACTGTACGAGAATGTATACTTGCAATTATAATTTTAATTTTTAATCAACGTATTGATATAAGAGGAACACGATGGCACAAGTAAATGCTTGTCGTATTGTTCGTATTGTTCGTATTGTTCGTATTGTTCCATGATCGCAACACATCATCTAATAATTCCTCTCCTCTCAACCGGTTAATCAATCACTGTGAATATTTTCATATAATTTCTCCATACTTAATATTTCAAGATGCTCAATTAGGATTTTTGCCTCAGTAGCTTTACAACATTCCTTTTTATTGTTATGGGATGTTTTAGCTCGCCTGCCTCATTATATCAATATTTTCTGATAAAAGCATTTGCAATCGTTGCTCTTACTTTCAACTTAGACGAGGTGTCGGTTTTGGAATTTGGATATTTTCTTTTTTGTCGTTTATTATTGTTTTCATTATTGTTTGTCTTTAAATGCAAAAGACTCGTCTTTTTACCAGTATATTGTCGGGAGTTTTGTCGAGCTTCGCACATATCCAACGGAATTCCTGAAAGCGAATCAGATTGTTTCGAAAATCGTTGATTTTATTTTTTCATATTAGAATGGATTGTTACCTTGTCCATAACGATAGTAACTATTGGTGTGTTTTTTTTTTTTTTTTTTTTTTTTTTTTTTTTTTTTTGTAATGCGAGGATTGTATAAATTTATAATACGTATTAAGTGATTATCGTCGTGTTCGTATCGTCGTAATCAAATATCTACTGCGACACCGATTGTATTTTCGATAATCGGCAATTATAATATGGGTAATTATTTTATATAATAACTTATAATTAACTTGGAATTTTCTCGAAAATCATCTCGATAGTCTTCTATAAGTATTTCTCTTTTTTCCAATACAAGTTCCTTTACGCTGTTATTAGAAAACTAGATTTACGTCATGATAATGTTGAGAAAAAGGCGCTATAATCAGGATTCACCAAATTTGGAATTGTACAATTTTATGAGCGTTAATTATATAAATATTATGCAATTGTAAACATCTGTTTTGTTTGAGTTATAAAATTTTTCTAATATCTCTTAGGTAATGTCTTGTAAACGAGCAAGAAGCGGATAAAATATTTATTTTACAATAATAAAAAGAATACGAACACTGAGTGAATAGTACGAACAATGAATGGCCTACTTAATCCATGAATTGCTTATTTCATATTAACTCGTTACTGTCCTTCTTATACATTTTATAAAAATCTTAACGTTCGACTTTTATTCAATTACTCTATTTGTGTATCATGGTAATGTTACATTTATTTAATGTTCATGTACAATTAGAAGAAAAATATAATAAGCATTTTTGAATATATTCTATAAATTTTAGCAATAATAGGAGATGTTCGGTCCAAATGTTTAAAAGTTCAATGTTTTATTATTAATTTCAATTCAAGTGTCAGCTTCTTTTGCATTAATTAAGTTGTGCGAGTGCTGTAACAAGATTCTATGGAGAATATAAAATATAAAGAGCAGATTATCGATGCATTTCAAATGAATTACTAAAGAATTTCGTAAGAGAGGCAACAAGTGATGCTTTAGATTGAACGTACAGTGACATGTTTGTAGCAGTTATCATATGATAAAGCTACTGTGCTGACAATTAATATTAAATTTACAAACATGTTTGTAAATCGACAGATCTACGTAGAATAGTAATATGAATTTGAATATATAAAAAAAAAAAGTAATAAATTGCCTCGTGAAATGCATAGAAAGCTTATTATTATGTAGTTACAATAGCCATTAAGAATTATAAAAAAAATTCGGACAATCTAATTGTTAAGAAACGACAAAATTTATATCAATTTTCAGTTTGACTATTAAAAGAATATAAAATAATTGTACATTTATTGGCAGTCGAAAATCTTTTATTCCTTTAACACTTAAAATAATTATAGGATAGCCAGCGAACGATTTATTTACCAGAGTGAATAATATTCTATTGACGAGAATCTACTTATTAACTTTCGACCTTTAAACAATACATTAAAAATTAATAGATTTACACTTTACTTCTAAGGCAAATATTATTTAATAAATTTTACAATTTCATAAATTTCATTTGCACGCTTATAAATATTAATGCTATGTAATCGTATTACAACCACTGCTGATGTGATAATACTAATATTATGATAATATCATAACTAATGCTTTCATTCTCAATTGAATTGTTTTTAATGATGACGCTCCTTTTACAAACATACCCGATCGAATATTGTATAAATATGTTGAATATTAAACATACAGCATGATTAGCACATATAACGATAATTTCTCGCTAATCAAATGGAATAACACGTTAATAGTCATGTCTACTCTTACGTACACGTTTACTCATAACTGTTTTAATCTTCAATTATATTCCTTAATTTTCCTTCATTTCATCTTATTGTATTGATTTATTTAAATTATATTAATTATTCATAGGGAATTTTACTCATCGTTGTTTGAAAGATCAATAAGTCTGACGAAAAATGCTGTCGAATAAAATTAATTATTTTTATAACTATCAGAGGATTGTTTATATCATTAGCGAGAGTGACAAAACTTTAGTTCTGCTGTTTATTAATAAAAATGATGGCAATAATATGTCGAAAATTATATAGGATTAGTTGTGGGAGCTTAATTACTTTAATCCATACTAAATATCGTTTTTATTGTCAATTATAAGGACGAATTTTGGATTTCTTTTACATATATAGTAATAAGAAAATCTTTATTTTCATATTTTAAAGGGTTGAGTTAAGTTTTTAACGAAAAAAAAAAAAAAATAAATAAATAAAAAAAAAATTTATTTTTTACATTACCGTCACCAATTAGTATTTTTAAATAAACGTTTAGAGGTAAATATTTTTTTTCTTATTAACATTTATTACAAATGAGACTTTTATCCTGGAATTTATCAAAACTAGGCATTATAAATATAAACATTGATTTTATGTTTTTAATATGTCTAATATATTGCAATCTTCTACTTGATTGAAAATTATTAGATCGATAACACATTTTAACAAGATAGGAAAATAGTATTGGAAATTAAATCATTTTATGATTTTGTACGTATGCAATCAAGCATTTATAGATTAGTTACGTAAGCCACATTTATTTAATTGCTAAATAAAATGGGCTAATAAATGAAAAAAATATAGAAAAAATCTTTTTACGTACTTTCATGTTTTTAGAAGATAGAATAAAAAAGGGATTTTTGTGGGAAAAGTATCCTATGATCTCATTAATGGAAATTTTTCGATAAGTATAATACGAATTGCGCAAATTAAGATTAATAAGTGAAAATTTACAATTTTATAATTAATATTGAAATACTCATTTGGATTTTATTTTATTTTTTTTTAATTTTAATTCGATTATAAAAAATCACAATAAAAAATTTATTTAATTCATAAAATCTGTATATTACTATATACTATTTACTATATACTACATTCGTATATTACATTGTAGCAATTAGATAAAATCTATTTGGAATTCACAATGTTATCATCTTAAAGAAAAAGAGAATGGGAGAAGAATTTTCAATCGGAAAGACACGCACTTTATAATTATGTTATATATTAGATTTAGATAATAAAATATGAAATAATATTTTTTATTTGTGCTTGTGTTGTGATTGTTAAAAATTTAAAATATATAGCAGATTTTATTTATTATAAAACAAGTAAAATTATATATTTAATAGCTTGAAATTAACATTTCCTTAATTATTAATTTTGAACGATAATTTGTAATATAAGAAATTCAGATCTATAATGCGACTTATAAAAATGTTAAATATTTAAATTACACGTGAAAATATTTAAATTAGAGAAAACATTGATGTGGCAATACACCGAGAATGAATTACTTATCAATAGTTATTATATTAATGTTTTTATATTGAATTTAACAGTAGTTTATTAAGATAATCCATAATTCATAATTGAGATTTTACGAAGTAATAATGTTAAGTATTAGAAAGAAATGTATAAATGCTATATATCATTTTAATATATTAGAAAATAAATATAAATATCAGAGATAATATGTATTACTCTGATATGAGAATCTTGTTTATTTTTATGATAGTTTGATTAAATGGCATTTCTATTTTATCATGGGTTATGAAATCTGTAAAAGAGTTTAAGTGAATGTAATTTGTGAACTATCATTCGGTATTATTGGCTTATGAGACTGTATTTTGAGTAATAAATTTTATAGATACAATCGATACAATATTTGTTTTAAAGTTCGGATGATTATAAATTGTTATATATAGTTGTTAGTTGATGAATTTCTATGATCAACATCAATTCTATGATGAATTCAATGAATTGGTAAAGTAATTTTTTTTCTACATTATTATCAATGTTTTTCATATGGTAGATATCGTCTATAAAAATTGTATGAAATTAGTTCGTTATATTTAATTTAAATGATAATATGTGTTTAAAAGTTGTTTAAAATGTTTGAAAAGCCCTCTTTGCTTTCAGATAATTCATTGCCCTTCCATCGATATCTTTTTATTTATACTTTCTTCCAAATATCTTTATTTTACGGTTTTTTTTTTTTTTTTTTTTTTTTTTTTTTTTTTTTTTTTTTTTTTTTTTTTTTTTTATACATATAATGCATATTATCGGACATAAAGACACGCGCAAGTGTGACTATGTAGGATTGAACAATACGCAAATAAATGTTGAGAATATGAACAATTATCGATATAATTAATTGTTAAAAACTGAAAAGTTGATAAAAATTTAACGATAATAAGTGGTAAAATGTGATTATAAACAAACGTTGCAACACATGGTATGTAATAAGACAGAAAAGTTCTCATGACAAAGATTTAATCAGATATAGAATGTATTATAATTCGAAAATGCTCGTAGATTTATGGCATTCGAAAGTTACACGATTACATTCCATTCAGTTGTCACTCTACTTTTGCCTTATTTAACTAATTAACGATAAAGTTGTTTAGTTTTATCGCGCCGTTATTTCTGCACTAGCATTCGATATTAACAAGGGGAAGAGATTTCATAATTCCCTTTTAAAGTTATCTTTAGCACCTCGTGTCGTTGATAAATTTATCCCATTAAAAGTAAAGTGCGAGAGGCTAAAAGTTCATTACCAACGTCGAATAAGAAATGAATGCCAAGAGCGGCCATACGCCGTAACCAGTAATGGACAAAGTAACTAATGGCCTGTAAATTCAACTGTGGAAGATAAGGTATCGAGGTGTGGAATCTTTGTGTAGCCTAACACCTACGATAGAGTGGGAATCGGGTATAGTTATGGGTATATTTGATCTAAGCCAACAACAAGGCTCGATGTTCAATAGTGAAATCGTCAGTGGTGAAAATTAATCTCGGTAGCATAGCGGAAGCCAGCATTGAGAAATTCGCAAAATCAAAGGCAAACGCGATGATTGGGATTTCTCACGGCTGCATTATCGACGTAAGAATACGAGATCGGCGAGGCCTGGGGCCCGTTCGTAATTCTCCGCCCCTTTGCACTCACGCTCCTTTCCTGGCAATGACCCCCCTGGCATCCTTTCATCGTAGGTGGGGAGAAACCGGTGGAAGTCGCGCGAGTTACAGCCGCGCTCCAGTTGTCGAGTACTCGTGAACGACTCGTCCTCACGGAATCCCGGGGCCAGGCATCGACCAATGTCCATCTTTATCCGCGACTCTCCAACATAGCTAAGAGGTGCTCCCCATAAGGTAATTTGGAGTTGCTTATGGATGGATGTGGTTACAGGAGTGCTTGCTTTCACCGCGGGTGATAGACGAGCGGCCTCTTAATGAAACATAAAAGCGAAATGCATACGATAATTTGCTCGACGCGCGAATTAACGAGGCTTTAAGTACGTTTTCACGGGAGCAGAAGCGTGACGGGAATTTTGAAAATAATTCGATCGAGGAAATAATAACGGCTACATCGCCGACGAAAATGTATTTTAATTGCGAGACATAAATTGCAGCGAAAGGTCTTCTGCTCGAGATATCGGCAGTGAGATGCCACTATCGGCATTCTAATTGGGTTCACCAGTATTTTTATTTTGTTATTTGATAAAATATTTTCCTTGTGCGCGCGCTGTCTGACGGAGGAATGTTCGCGGAGTAAAATAATCTGACATTAATGATAAACGCCTCGCGGCGCACGCCATTGTCCAAATCACGTAATTTTTTAAAAAAAATTTCTCCAAAACATGTGCAAGACTTTTTTCAGTGAGGTAGTTGACAATTTTGTAAAACCAGTGCGCCAGAACATAGTTGTGCTTTATTCAAATTTCAAGGGTAAGTTACGTTAAACGACGTCTAATGAAACTCCACCGAGTGCGCTCATTATCGTTCCTCACTCCATTTTCATCCACACTTTCATTGCCTTTCTTTTAACACATCTGACATTTTCCTCTTAAATATTTTCAAACTGCTCCTATTTCCGATTAAATACATTTTAACGACTTTACCACTTTAACGTTCTTTATGATTAATAAATTCATTAAATTCGTTGGAGAGAATTTCTAATTAGAAAATTACTGATATTTCAATATGATTTGGAAACAGTTATGTTTCAAATAATTTTAAAACAACATTAAAAGTTAATAACGTATTTTATTATTGAATTTCTTTTTTCAAACAATAAAATTACAATGCTAAGGCTGTTAAATTGCGTAAAATTATAATTTCAAATATTCGAACAAAGTACAACAAACGTACAATATTTCTATAAATGAAACAAGAAGAGAAATACAAGTAAATTTTTGCTAATAATTTCCAACAGTCAATTCTTCAAAATACTTCAAAAGTAATTTTAAATAATTCTATGTAATTCCACAAAGTAAATAATTATTTCACTCGAGTCAATATCTTTAATTATCTCTCTTCTAATTATTATTGCAAATTAGGGAATAAAAATATTAACTTTCATTTTTAATAATTTTTTTGTAAAATTAAATTTACAAAATGAAATGTACTTATTGATAACATATAAGGTTTTGTGTAATTTTCTCATGAACGAAATAAAAAGTTTAATGATAATTTATTAATATTAATTAAATTAAATCATATCATCCATAGACGTAATGAAAACATTAATCATAGTCAGAGATTTTTTACTTTTTTAGAGAACAAATAATTACTTTTATCATTGGAAAAATTTTTAAAAAACAAAATACACATTTTAAAAATGAATTTATGTAAAATATTGTTCAAAATAGCTTATGAAAATAATTTTAATAGAATTTTTAATAGAAAAAACAGTGTATGTAACAATTAAAGACGCAAGTTAATTATAAATAATCATTCGTACTCTGAATATTTTCTGAATATTGAATATTTTCTTTGACAGTTTGATGAAATAATATAATAATTATTAAAATAAATATGAACTTACTTTTATTTTGTATTTATTACATTATTTATTATATTCATTTGACTTGTATTTTATTTTGATTTTGCTATCTTCGAGTTTATAAATTAAATTAGTTCTTATAAGTTAAACATTTTTATGTTTTAATGAAAATTTATAATATTATATTTATATAATGATAATATTATATATAAATACTATAATAATGATTTATTAAACATAATTTTTAAAAAATTGTTCGATAAATTTTATTTAAATAATTATATATTTTTCACTTTATAGTTCCATTAATTTTCAATTTTAATTAGATTGTTGAATATGCATTACATATTTATTATTGGGAAAAGTTAAAAAAATTCTAAATAGTGCTAGCAATTTTACATTATTATATTATTGAAGAAGAGTGTATTTTACGTTTTATTTCAATAATTTTTTATGTATTAAATTTTCCTTTAGTTGAAAGTATATTATGATAATAATAATCCTATGATAGTGATCATAATATGATTATTTGTTCTCATATCTAAATGTCTTGTTCATCTAAAATGTGTTAAAAATCATTTTTATTTTTCTCTCTTTTTTCTCTCTTTTTTTTTTTTTGTTTAAATATTTTTCATAATTTCATTTCAACGTTGTAAATATTATATTTCATAAACATACTTAAGATGTACATTTTTTAATTATACCATTGCTACATTAAATTGAATTAAAATTTACAGAAAACCATTGAGAAACAATGGAAAAAGAGTCGGAAGATATCGAGGCGACGATGCCACTGAGATCCAACGATCGCAAAGATACAGGAATCATCGTTACCGTCGGCAATACGCCGCGTCAAGTCGACGTTCAGTTCTCCGATATCTGTATATCAGTTCCGCAAAAGAAAGGTAATTCTCACTTTCCAATATTTCGCCTCGTCTTTTCGTCTCTCACGACCGTGTAATAACGGCAAGAGCCGACATTAAATGCCAACGGAATATATATATACATATATATTATTGTATATACACATGCGTGAGAGCTCATATATATTTGTATATATTACAAACGTTAAATTATACAAAAATTTATTTTTGTTTTTTACTCGTAGAATATTCTCTAAAATTTGGCTTATTTTATGCTATATCGTATTGCTTTTTGTATAGATTAATAATTGAAAATTATAAGTACATACGTTATATATTCATAAATGAGTGAGTACTATTTTCAAAACAGCTTTATAAGTAGAAAAAAAAACTAAAAAAAAAAAAATATAGAAAATCAGAATAATCATTACTCATTATTCGAATTATAATGTTAAATAAAAAAAAATGTTTTTCCTGAGTAATGTATTATTATTATTGAATTGGTATGGGCGTTTTTTTTTTTTTTTTTTTTTTTTTTTTAATAGTATGTGATGATGGAAACACATTGAGATCATTGAAATGATCGATTAAAGTTATAAGAAATTTCAAAAGATTATACGATTTTTCAAAAACATCGGTATTGGACGTGAATTCTCTTGTTAATAACTTCTTAAATGAGTTATTTTATACTTTAATGAAACGTTGAACAAGATAAAAAATATCGAGCTTTTTAATAAATTCTAAATTAATTTAATAGAATTATTTAATATAATCATTTAATACAAATTTTACTCCAAATTATTTATTCTTATTCGTATACGTGATAATGTATATATTTTATCGAACCTTCTCTATCAAATGCGTTCATAAAGATTAATGTGTTTTAATGAGAATTAAAGCAAAGTATTTTAAATTATATAGAAAGTGATGGAAAGACGGTTAGAATTCACTATTAAATACCATATACCAAGTAAAGTTGATTTACATTTTTTTTTTTTTATCAATTTGATCTTCTTTCTGGCAAAGTATAGAATTTGATACATTAAATAGATTTTACGTACATAGATCACTAAATGCCAATGTATTAAGCGTTGCTCCACATGCTATCACTTTGAATTATAATTTGTTATAATTTTTTTTCGATTAACTATTTTATCTTTACTTCAATGCATGAATAAGGCAAGGAGAATTAGGCAAGTAAATTAATAAGCAGATTTATCATATATAATATCTATCGATCAATTACTCTCTATAGTATTCTAATAAGTAAATTAATAAGCAGATTTATCATATATAATATCTATCGATCAATTACTCTCTATAGTATTCTACATAAACTTATTTAAATAAATTACAAGTAATCTCTTTCATGAGATATTTAATAGTTTTATCTTATACCTTAATAATTATAATATTGACTCTATACGAATTTTGTCAGTTTTCACTATTATATTGCTGACATTGCACGATTTAGTACGGACATAATAAATTTAGTACTATCGCATGAATTTGTAGTAAATTCTGATAAATAATCTTCTCTGTCTAATCTCACCATCCTTATCAATTCTGTCATAATTATCATAGACGAATATTGTCAATGTTTGGCCCTCATAATCACCAATGCTCTCAACGCAGAAAAAAAACAAAACAAAACTAGTAAGAGGCTTATGTCCTTGTGTACACAGGCAAATGCAAGGAGATTTTATGCGGTGTAACGGGAGAGTTCCGTTCGGGCCGGCTCACGGCGATCCTCGGGCCCTCCGGAGCCGGGAAAACGACGTTACTGGACATCCTGGCGAGCCGCGGGGCCAGGAGTTCCCGCAAGAAGGTTCAACTTGGTGGTCTACGCCTGAATGGAGTCAGTTGCTGCGAACGTCCGGAGATTCTTCGTCGACTGAGCGTCTGCTATATCCCCCAAGAGTTTGCACTCATGCCCTTCCTCACCACCAGAGAGACGATACACGTCGCGGCGACTCTCAAGCTGCCCGGGAAATCTTACGACCCAGGCACCAGGAAATTCGTTGTATGCACACTTGGCTCTCTTGAATCCGAGCTCCCATCCCACTTTCCTCCAAAGTTTTTCGCTTTCCTATTAAACCACGCCCACGACCGTCAATGGCCAACTATGAGAAACGCTTAATCAATTATTAAGAAAATGAAGTGAAAATTATACTTCGTCGAGCGACTATGCTTTAAGATAATTTCATCTTAAGCTTTAAAGTTTGTTTTGATAAATCAATGCTTTAATTAGTTATAAACAAAATGAAAATGTACAAGTTACAAGCAAAAAATAATGGCATGTAATATAATATTTGAAAAGCTTGAAAAACTTTATTAAATGGAGACAGAATCTATCATTATATATATATATATATATATATATATATTAAATTATTTAATTAATTATTCCGAGGAAAAAAAAGATCTTTAATTTTACGTGAAGTCGAATGAAATTTGCACTCTGAATTAATGAATTGAGCTTTGTAAAGCGATGATTGTTTTGCAAAAAATTAGAAATATAACTATAATGTTGAATATCTAATAGGCTAATTAATATGCTCAAGAACGCGTCAATTTTTTAAAATTTATAGTATTGAACGTAATGTAATATTAAAATATGACTGAAAAAATCACATAATAATGATATTTAAAGGATCAATAATAGCAATAATATGAACTCGAAGGATACTTTACTAAATTGCTTTTTCTCTTTATAAAAGGCTATAAAGAATCGTTTGAATCAATGAAAGCAGAAAAAAAACTATGGATAGAAAGAAAGGCAATTGAAAGTTTTCGATCCAATTCTTGTTAAAAAAAAAAAAAAAAAAAACATTTCAATTGAAATTCACGCAATTTGAACAGCTCACGAGAATTTTAATACAAGAATTTATAGCAAAAGTTCAATAATCAAAGTGCAAAATGTGTACGAAATACACAAGATGCATAGGACCAAAACTTCCTGTACTTGACGAATTGCTTGAAAGCTCATCGGCCAAACAATTTCAACGAATCTCTAACTGGCAATAAATAAATGACGAGAATAAAAACTAAATAGCGAGAAAATAGAGCTTTGTTAAACAAGTGATAATAAAGTTAAAAGTTCGTCTAAAAGTTGTGCTATTGATATCCTAGATGAACGACGTAGCGACTAGATTGGGCCTCCAGGACTGCATGGACACGCTGACAAGTAACTTGAGCGGAGGTGAGAAGAAGCGACTTTCGATAGCCGTGGAGATGATAACGAGTCCCTCGGTGATGCTCCTCGACGAGCCGACCAGTGGCCTCGACAGTGCCTCCTCCAATCAGGTGCCTATAAAATACAAAATACAATTTGCAATAAAGAACTTTCTATTTAAGCGATCGGACTAATAATGCTCGACCGGTTATTAATCAGGTGATCGGACTCCTGGGCTCGATGGCGCGCACCGGCTGCACCGTCGTCTGCGCGGTTCACCAGCCAAGTAGCCACATAACATGTCGCTTCGACGACATCCTCGTGTTAAGCCAAGGGAGAAGCCGCTACTGCGGTCCCCGCGACAGTCTCCTCGATCACTTCAAGAACGCCGGCTACGCATGTCCGCCTTTCTACAACCTCGCCGAGTTTGGTAAGCGAGGCTCGGACGATGAGCCGTCGAGAGAAATTTATGGACCTTCCCTCCATCGTCCTCATTCATTCGCGCTCGAGACGTTTTTTCTTCTTTTTTTTTTTTTTTACATTTCATACTCTTTATTAGTGATCGAAACGCAAACATACTTTAAAGAGCTTCGTATAAATTTTTTTTTTTTTTCATTTATTAGTATCCGTTTATTTCAAATAAGTTTTACGTCCGATTCAAATAATTCCAGCAGTAACCTGTCGCTAATCCTTTGAAAATCATAGCAAAAGTCGATATTTTCCAGATTAATTTTTGACACGCATAAGTACACTTTACATTAGAAATGCCATCCGGTAAAATATTCCTCGTGTCCTGTACTTCATTCATAAATCTTTTGACATATTATTTTATTGAGAAAATAGCGATTTATTTATATTGAGTAGAGGAGCCTCGATAACAGGAATAAAATACAGATTTAAGCGCGAATAGAGTAAGCCGCTGTGAAAATGTTTTAAATGTGTTTAAATAAGCTTCCTGTGAAACGTCATTCCCAACATGGAAGCGTTAAAAATAATAAAAAAAAAAAAAAAAACTAATTTGTATGGCGCTATTCAGTGCTGGAGGTGGTGACAGGTCAGCGAGGTGGCAATTACGAGCTCCTGTGCAGCAAAGACTCGATGGACGAGGCCAACGTGAGCGCCAAGTACCTGAGCCGCTCCTCGACCTCCAGCTTCCACGGCGACTCCGGTGCCTCGAAGCGCTACGCCGTCTCCCATTGGACCCAGCAGAAGATTCTCCTCCGGCGAGCTTTTCTCTGCATTTCACGTGACAACGTACGATTAACAATCCACCACTTTTTCCCCTCTCCGCTAAAAATTGTCTCATTTATATTTCTAAAATGTACACGCGTTTATAGACTTTTTTTTTTTTTTTTTTTTTTTTTTTTTTTTTTTTTTTTTTTTTTTTTTTTTGAAGTAAAAGAAGAAGAAAGATAGTTGTGTAGATGATAGCTAACGGACATGGAATGACCATGCCAATTGTTTTTAATGCTCAATTCCAAAGTCAAGTGACAAACTTTTATCAAAGGCTTATATCGTTCTTGCGTAAAGTCAATTGACTGATTACTTATGCGCTAATAGCTTCTCGCGATACTCGAACAAATATAATACGACGAAGGATCTTACCTGTAATTCACCATTATCGACTGTCTTGTCTTAAAAATTTTCAGTGTTTGAGTATTGTTTGAAAAGTGAAACGCGTTCCATCGAAATCCATTGGAATGCAGTGGCAATTTCCATTGCCCGTCTAAGCAATAATAAATAACACGTTTCTTTAAAGGCAAAAATTAATTTCTAAAATTGTAAAGTAATGAAAAGGACTCGTTAGCATTTCATTCGGATCGCATATGAAAGAATCTCTCGTTATTTCTCGTGCTATTACAAGCTATCTCTCTTTATCTATCTATCTTATCTTTCTTTTCCAGACTATGACCAACTTAAGGCTTTCAGCGCACTTTGTCGTCGCCATTCTTTTGGGAATAGTTTTTTACAAGTTTGGTCACGATGCCAGTACAGTATACAGCAACGTTGCTTGCCTATTCTTCTTCGCTGTATTTCTCTTCTTCGCAAACTCAATGCCATCCGTGCAAATGTGTAATATTGAATTTTTATTGTTAACTCTAATACCGATACTAACCCCCAAACGGCCATACGAATTATCCATACAAAACGAGAATACCTTCCACCTCTTACTTTACCTTTTATCGCTAATCCACTTCACAACGTTATCACTAAATATTTTCAAGCAAAAAAACTTCCCTTTTTAACTGCACGCTGCACAGTTGCACGTTGCACTCTTATTCGGTTGCATTTGCGGTGGCGTTTAAGACTCGATACTTATTTAAGAGTATAAACGATCGTTAGGTACATGAAACATTTACATGAAAATATAAAAGAATCGTACGGATCATCAAGATTAACAATGAAATATTAAAGTTGGTATCGAATTAAATTCAAAGTAAAACAACGTCTATATTTATAAATTCACTGATTAACGAATTTATGCGTAAAACAGAGAGACAGACAATATTTCAATAACTTATTTTTATTCATTAACTTTAATTTAAATGTACATCGCAATGGCTATTATCACGTGATTTTTCGTTCTTTACACGCACGTTATGTGCTTGAAATAAATGCTCGAACAGATGCATCGCGTATGAATATATATTCCAAATTACCTTACCTTCCTCACTTTTATCGAGCAAAGACGATAGATTATCAATAAAGCCAAACAAAAACAAAAAATAAAAATAAAAATAAAAATAATCTCTCGATTGTAAAAATGTACGATTCATTGCTTTGGAATTTATCAAAGTAATGAGGTAACGAATTTGCGATTTTCACGCAGTTCCACCAGAAGCGACGGTTTTTCTCCGTGAAAACACAAACAACTGGTACTCCCTCGAGGCCTACTACATAACGAAAGTCCTTGCCGACCTGCCAATACAAGTATTACAGAAAAGCTTGCTTTTATTTATAAAGAGAGTTTGCTCGCGCGCATATTAATTTAATAATTCTCTCCTCTCTACGTTAGATAGCTTGCCCGACGGGATTCCTGGCGATCGCCTATTACATGACCGGTCAACCCCTCGAGCTCATGAGATTTGCTCAAGTTTGGCTGATCTGCACGCTATTTACCATCATGGCGCAATCCTTCGGCATCGTCACCGGAGCCGCATTCAACACACACGTAATGTCCTTCAATTTTCTCTCTCGCCCCTTTCAATACGTAAAATATCACATTGCTCAGAATTAAAATGACCCCGTTTGTAAAATTATAATTGCTTTCTCCCCACCTCCAACCGCCCACATTTTTCATTTTTCAATTTATATTGCTCGCGATAACGAAGTTTATGGATTCTGAATTTTTAATATTACTATGCGATATTCATTATGGATATTAAAGAAAATCCATGCGATAGATATTTGATTACCAATACATTTATTATCTTTTATAGATCGGCATGTTCTTAGTCCCAGCCTTTAACATTCCCATGTTTCTCTTTGCCGGATTCTTTCTCAAGCTCAAAGAGATTCCATTCTTTCTGCAGTTCCTCAGTTTTATAAGCTATTTTCGGTAAGTAATGCTCCAGTATTTCTTAATTCCCAGTAATACCCATCTTAAAAGCAAAACAAAACAAAGCAACAAAGAAAAAAACTCAATCTTTCAAATCTATCCTCATCGACGTACATATTGTAATTTACGTGAATTTAAAGCTCACGACGACCAAAGCCCACCCATTGGACAAAAATTTTGCCACCATTGATTCCAAAGAATCATCGCCTTAAACATTAACGAATTAAACATTACACCGATGCGTTTTAGGTATGCGTTCGAAGGCATCATGCAGGCTGTGTACGTAAACCGGGAGAAGATCCCATGTCACACGGACTTCTGCCCCCTGCGATTACCAAGTCGTATCCTCGAGGAGTTTAACATGCCCTCGGTGCCCTTTGCTACGACAGTCTTTGCCCTTGTCAGCTGGATCGTCATCCTTCACTCGCTCATTTACGGCGTATTGCGCTGGAAGCTCTATGTTTTTCGAACGTAACCGAGGAAAGCGGGGCCTAATCCTTGGTCTCTCACTTTCATCCATGTAATTTGCAATTATTTGCATAGTTGGAGCCTGTGCTTTTCGATTGACCATCACATTGACGAAATCGAAGAAAAGAGAGAGGGAGTGGCCCATTGGGAAATGGTCGTTGCGCTAGTGAAAATCGCACTCAATGGCTAAGATTTCAGCATGCGGTTTTGGGAATGAAAATTCTGTCTTTGTTTAATGTACAGGCTCGGCTCTGCTTCAAGAAATTGACGCTCGACAGACAATATATATTCGACGCTAATTAAATCAATGTGTATTGGAATACTTGGAGTTTGAGAGTTTTATACATTTATTTTATACGAGATTATACTTGTCCTTTGTTATTGAAAACGCGTGTACTTTAACGAATATCGTCCTTTAAAATATCAATGACATTGGATGGGAAAATCGAGCAATGATATATTCAATCTATAGTTAACGATAATCAATAATTCTCATTAATTTTGTAAAAGTTATTTCTAATAAATTTTTAATTTATTCCCATTGTCTTATTCTAGAACGAATACTTGAAGAAAGCACTTTTATTCAGAACTTTCACCACAGTACATCTTCATATTCTCATAATTACATAATAATTAATAATATAAAATTAAGTTCATCTCTATCTAACGACATTTAAACTAACGAATGAACGAAAATAATTATATGCCGGAGGTAAAAATAAACCTCTTAGATAATAGTAATTTTGATCTGGGCTATTTATAATGTTTATTAAAATTTTTGAAAACAATATGAGAGCTTTTAAAATAAATTTTCATTGAGACTTAATAATATCTGTATGATATTTATATATATTCTATAATTATTATAAGCTTACAAGAAACTATTTATATCCTTTTTCATATGACAAACATGCTATATATGTATATGAATTAAATATGTATATGAATGTCATACGTGTATATTAGCATAACATAAATTAGTAACAAACATGTGTATTAGTGAAATAGAAAAAAAGAAAAAGAAAGACAGAAAAAAAGTAGTTTAAAGAAAATTTTGAAATCATTAACATTATTTATGTAAATGTGACTATTTATTTATGTAAATGTAATAAAAATGATCCATAATGTAATAGGTAATCAGACAATAGACAACAAATTCTTTATAATACGGACAAATTTTCAGTTCATTGCCAAGCAATACATATGTAAAAAAGCATTACCTAAATCAAAATAATGATCAACATTAAAATAAGCAAGCATCCATAGATCATCGTAGAGCTTGAAAATACGATGAAATAAAAATTTTTATTCTATTTTTTCATACATAATATAAAAGAGTAGCAGTAATCGAGTATTAATACATATATATCTTGTATTATAAATTTTTTTATATAAAATGCAGATATTTATAAATATCAGCAGTGTGCTATAGTAAATATTATATTGATTTTGACATCAACGCACACAATATTTATTATAACTCAATGTAAATTTTGTATATCCTTCATCCAATCGTTACTTTGGTAGATTTTTTCTATTATCTAATACTTCCATTGAAATTTAACATTAATTTAACAAAATGTAATTTATTCTTTATTGCTTAATCAACATTCTCAAAAAACATGCTTGTCATTTAGTTTCAGCGATATAAACTAAAATGGATATGTATAAATTTGTGGGCAAAAAAAAAAAAAATGAGTTAAAATAATTAAGTATAAAATTTTTAGAAATAAAAAAAATTTGTAAATATAAATAGGAAATATTATTAAAAGTTACACGCTATTGTAGCTTATTATTTTCGTCTCTTCGATATTATCATTATTTTATTTAATTCAAGTTTCATATGCAAACATTTTCATTCTATAACGATAGCTTATACCAAGGATTACTTTATAAAATATGTATAATTATTTTTATTTATTCTAATTTACCAAAATTTATTCTACTTCTTAAACGTGTTTTAATATAAAAATTATCGTTTGTTTTTTTTTTTTTTTTTTTTTTTTTTTTTTTTACCTTTGTCACCTATATATCTGCAAAGGCATCAATTTGCGATTATAACTTCATACAAAGTATTACATAAAAAAAATTTATGAAAACGGTAAATTAATTAATGTTTAATTCACTTGATTTGTTTATTTCACTATAAATAATTCGCTGTGAATGATTTTTTTTTTTATAAATATATGCTTTTACGTAACACTCTGCCTGCACATATTAAAACTATTTATGCCTATGAAAAACTTCAGCACATGAAAAGTACTTTGATATATCGATTTTAATGATTTAAGAGTTTTTGAATCTTAATACTTTTTGTTAAAATTTTGAATTAAAAGTTGCATTATCAGGTCAATTATTGTCTTTGTATTGTATTTAAAAATTTAACAAAAGTCTGTGATACGCGTATAAATGTGTGGCAAATTTATTAAAAATCTGTATTATATCGCTATAGTCATTGCTGAATAAATGCTTTCATCTTACAACGATTAATTGTTTAAATTTACTTTATTATATATAAAAATAGCAATTTTTATTATTATTTTAATATTTAAATTTGGTTAATTAAGCCAACATTCCATTGAGGATTCGATGTGCAACACTCACTATCACTATATAAACTAAATATATAATCTAGAAAGATTATTTGATAGTAGTTGAATTATAGTACAAATATAATTATGAAAAACTTTGAGATTTTGGTAGCGTTTAATGAAGAGCGAATAGGAAATATTCGTATAGTTATTAAAATATATCATCCGTGGATACGAATAAAATAGTGAAAATGATGACCTAACGAATATAACTTATGCTGATTTAATTCTATTCATCTAGTAAAGTAATCTAGTTATTGTAGACTACCGTAGGAAAAAAGCTTTGTTATTTGTTTTTTTCTTAATGACAAGGAAAAGATATTAAAAATTACGCTGGTGGATGTAATTTATTTTGCCTGAATTCACGAAGCCAAGTCAAAAAGTGCTTAACATTTCGGTAAAATTCTTATAAAAATACATTTGCTTATTTTAGTTGAGTTACGATTATTGGAAGGAATAGGAACCGTAAATTGCCATACGTTCCATCGTATCGAGGTGACGCAACTTTCCAATAGTGTCAGGGGCGCATCGTTGCTCGAACGATGAAAACAAAATTCCTGTCGATGACGATGCACACAGCAATCAAGACAATTAGCATACTAAATATAATTTGATAATTATAACTAGACTAATACGACGTTAGAAAATTTAATATTTGACAATCCAACGTTTTTAATTCATTTGATATACTGTAAGAAGTAGCAGATTTTCAGAAATATCTTTGAATTGCATACATAATTAATAAAACAAGTACTAGGCAGAGAGACTCTGAGTAAATTAACAAAGTTAAATTGTAACTAATCACTTGTAAAGAGTATAAACAACGTCACATTTATCATCTTATACAATGTGCTCATTCATACATTGCTTGCATCAGCATTATTAGCGTATTTCTGATTAATGTGCTACTAATAAATGGTAGTAACACATTTCTCCCTGACACGCTCGATTGTATTTTAAAATATTAAGACAATTTTTATCGCTAATCGAAAATATAAAACAAAGGAAATATTATTATGAATAATGCTTTGAGGAATATTTAGGTATTAATAATTAAGATAGCATTGCATTTCGTATATAATATTTAAAAAATTTATATTCCGACAGAGTACATATACAAAATTTTTTTAACCAATTAATTAAAGTGTCATATACAATAGAAATGCAAAAAAGATATCGTAAAATCGACTGAGGATATATCAATATCATTTTTGATACTGATTTTTTTTTTGTTTTTTTTTTTTTTTTTTTTTTTTTTTTTTTTTTGTTTTGTCGAGAAAGTCAAAACACAGTAATAATGCTATTTATTAAATTTTCAAATAGAAAAACTGATTAATAAAAGAATATCGTACGTATATAAATATTATAACAATTGATCTATACAGTCAAAGGAAACAAAGTAACAACAGTATATTTAATAATAATATGTTTACTATCATAAAATTGTATATTTTTACATGTATTTCTTATCTCAGCTAGTATGCACTGTATGCTAGTATGCATATACATGTATATACATGTATTCATTTCGTAAACTCATTTCATTTAATTTAATTGACTTGTCGGTGAGACAAAGCTCATAATCATTTTACATACAATAAATAAAAAATAGAATTGACTTATTTGCGCTTCACGGAAAATTCATAATCAGTTCCGATAAAAAAAAAAGATGAAAATAACGATGCATACGCTAAATTTTATCATCGATGTTCATTACTTTTTTCCATTTATCATTGACAGTTTAAACCGTAGTAAACAGTAAGGTCATTATTACGTTAATTAATAATGAAAAAAAAAAAAAAAAAAAAAAAACGAAAAAAAATTCAATTAAAAAAAAACTCTCGCGCGTAAACATTCAATGTCGAATGAGATCATACTTATACGATCCTGTACAATGAAAAATAATGCATTTCTGTTTATTGATGTTTGTAGAAAATTTTTTTACCGACACTCTCTCAGTTTCAAACTAATGGCAACGGCATTTCTCAAGTGAAAGCTCCTATTATCTCTGCTTGAGCGCAATGAAAGCTAACGAATAATAATAAATTCTATTTAAAATTGACATGGTTATATCTTATGAAAATATTACATCGAGATGGAATATTTTGAAAAAAGATTTAATAGTATTATAGAGAGAAAAAACACGTTTGCATGTATAATTAATCATTTCTGTCGACGATTAGTTTACGAAGTTGACCTATCGATAATATAATACTTATAATTTTTCTTCTTTTTCCATTTTTCTCTTGTGAATCAATTAAATTTTACTTGAGCTTCGAATTTGCATTTGCATAAATAATCTGCGACTAGTGTTTCTTAAAGTTATTGAATTTTAATTTAAACGAGTATTGAAAAACTTTAGTTATGACTCAAGCGTTTCAACTTTATTTATTGTGCAAAATAGATATGAATATTTCAAGGAAACTATAATGCTTCGATAAACTTTGTAAGTACTAGTTATAAATCACGTAATTTCCGTTTAATTAGGCATCGACTGTACGAGCACGAGAACAACAAAACAACAAACAGTGCTTATTATAACAGAAAAAGGACGTACGGCACTTTAATTCGAAAGGAATGATTAAAAATTTTATATATCAATGAACTACGCCTATAATTGCTGAAAAATAGACTTTTAGTCGAATTAATAGGTCTTGTGGTAAATAAATTTCTTTCGTTTCATTAATTATACCTAATATCGACGATTTAAATAATTATTTTGAAAAAATCGCATATATTAAATGAGTCAACGAATTTTCGCTAATCTTCCGCCCTCTAGCACCTCCTTACACATATATCTCATTAGTTTTAAAAATATTCAGAAAAATATATATATATATATATATATATATATATATATATGTGTGTGTGTTTTTTTGTTTGTGTGCGTGTGTGCGTGCGTGCGTGCGTGCGTGCGTGCGTGCGTGCGTGCTGGTGTGTGTGTGTGCGTGTGTGTGTGTGTGTGAAATAATTTCACTACTACGCCTTTCGCATCCCTCTTCACAGTGCGCTTGGGGCAGTTTTTCTAATAATCATCCCTACATCTAACATCACAATGTCGACAAATTTCATAACTACATATGGCACACGTTGCAAAACCTTTCTATTCTCGGTTAACGGCCCGAGGGAATTGTCAAATTTTCGTTCGTTAATGTGCTTAATAGTCCCCCAGTCTCCGTTTCATCGTCGACCGCTACGGTGCAGCCTCGAACGACGGAATTCCCACAATAGTACATCATGCGAGCGGGTTTTTTGTTATGAGATGGGAATCTTCCTATCTCGAGGACAGAAGTTTCCAACGCAAAAGGAAATAGGCGACGATGCGCATGGCGAGGACGATAAAGGAGAGGGCGGCGATGTCGTTCCAGAATTGATCGTCGCTCATCGCGATAATTTCCTTTACGAATTTCCGTGGATCCTTGTAAAAGCAGAAGTCAAGGTCATCGTTGTGACACGCAAGAGTCTGTCGATTCAAGCCGTAAATTGCGTTCACGTATCTGCAACGATGAATAAACATTGGTCGTATTATCCCTTTCGCAGCTTTTTGCGGCATCGTTTTCACTAATCACTCCAACAATTTTAATAAGCTTTCGCAAAAATTATTTAGTATAATATAATTCAAATGGTTATTCGATCTTGTGACTATTAAGATGAGCCTCAACTTTTTCTTCAACTCTCATTAAGGACACGTGTACGTGTCGAATTTAAAAATGCTTTTATATAATTAGTTATATGCAAAAATTACGATGTATTAAATGCGTGTGTGTTTGTTTGTGTGCCTGTGTGTGTGCGTGTGTGCCTGTGTGTGTGCGTGTGTGCGTGTGTATATAAACGTTATAGTTTTATCATAATTAATAGTTTGTTGTGATATCATTCTTAGTAGTAATTTAAAAAAAAAATATATATATCATAAATACCCTTCGAGACCATATCGCAAATAGCTAATGTACGTTCCCCAGTATAAATAGTTTGGAAGATCTCGTAAAGACACCCCAAATCCAGCAAACATCATCATTGGTACGGAGAGTGTGGGTGCTAAGAATGTCCCATTCTAAAATTGCAAAATTATCTTCTCAAACTTTTGAAAATAAATCTTAACATATTAAAATATCATTTGTATAATGTTTCGAATATTTTTATAAGTATTTTCAATTATCGGCAACTTTCATTAGGAAACGTGGATGTGAATAATGAATGGATATATAAGTGGGTATGATACTTAATATTCTTATGCAATACACGAAATATAATAATATTTTTCTATTCAAATATATTAGTTATTAAATGCATATTCGATCATTGCATATCCCATTACTACGCTCTGTCGCCGTATGCCAGAGAATCCTAATACGATAAAGAATTATTTATCAATTATTATCGCTATCCTTGCATTCGCTTATTAATTATTATTCACGATTCACTTTGCAACCGATTTCCCTCTATTAATATATACATAAACACCGTAATATAATGCACATTATATGAAGTTGATATCGTTGAATTTTTATTTACAAATCGTTCCACTTCAACCGCAATATTTATAAACACTACTTGCAATGTTTCGTTTTATATTTCTCTTTAATATAATATTTTCTTCGTACAAAATAATCTTTTATTGATTAAAATGTTGTTTATAAAAGTCTAAATTGTTATTTAAATTCATGTAATTATTGCACTTTATTGAGAATCAATTATGTATTACTCCTTCACTTTTTTATATAAAAAATTTTATTTTTATTCATAATAATAATTATTATTAATTTATTTATCAATGCTCATAAGTTATAGAGCTACAGAGTTATTATTCTTTTTCTTTATCTGTAAAATACAAATGAAAATTGGAAGGTATTTTATATTTAAAGATGCACATTTATGAAAAAAAAAAAAAAAAAAAAAAAAAAAAAAGTTAATTATCGATTCTTAATTGAAAATTAATAAATATAGTATCTCGAAAGATCATGGAATTTTGCTTGCCAAAGCAAATTTTGAGAGCAAATTATTATAAAAATTATGTTTATCCAATATTTGCTGAAAAACAACAGTATGAAAAACGACAATTTATACTTTGAAAATAATAATAATATATATATATATATATTAGGGATGAATAAAGAAACTTAATAATGAAACTTTGAATTACTGTCAAAATTTCTTAGCAATGCATAATCGGAACTTTGTTTTTTGCCTCGAAGAAAATTCTGATTTTCAAATATATAAATGCGTAAATCCACGCGTAATGTCCATATTATTATGATTATTATTATTATTAACCAAACCATGTGAAAATAATTTAATATCTGTACAGATACTCGCGAGCAAATGAGTCACTACATTAACTATCGAGAGCACGTATATATCCGTTTCATTAATTTATTTATTACATGATTTATTTTCCATAAGCGCAAGGACATTTACGAATTTGCATAATTGTTAAAAAAAAAAAAAAAAAAGAGGAAAAAAAAAATTTAGATATAATTGTGATTGTAATTGATAAGTTATTTCATATATTGTCAATATCTTTGTACCTCTGTAACTCAAATCAAACATAGCAATATTAAAATAAAAATTCTTCAAATAACAATTATGCGCATAATCACTTATTATTAATCAATACTGATTTTCGATATTTTTTAACTCAATAATCTAATGTTTTAAATTGTAAAATTTTTCATTAAACGTATAATTATTAATTATTGTTAAAGATAATTAATTCGATCATCAGTAAACAAATAAAAGATTTTCATATTATCTCATGAAAATTATTACTCGCAAGTGTAATTAAAATACTTCGTGTAACATTTAAATCTTGTAATATCGTTCATTTACCCTTGTAATGTAAAACATGAAAATAATAATATATTAGAAATGAAATGGAAAATATTTTTAATAAATTTAGAGAATTCGTCGAATGAATGAATGAATATCCGTATTAAGTAGGAAAATAAATTACTAGGAATAATGGAAAAAATGTATGTCGCTTATTGAATGGTTTTGCATTATACGAATAGCATTGAATTTATTTTAATCTAACCGATAAATAAAACTTAACAATAATTCTTTAATCAATATACATCCTGATCCATCGGACGTAGAAAAGAAAATGATAATCCCTTTGCATTTATAAAACCAACACTTTTTATTTTATCGCTGTTAGGCAAATATAAATTAAGTGATGGAAAAAAAGAATTTTGAAATATTTTCACGTCGTTGGATCGTTAAATATCTTCTCCTTTCCACTAATTCCCGACATTCCCAATTATTTTCATTTTTTATGGCTAAAATGGTCGGCGCGTAATATTAATTTCCTAATGCAATGCTAATGCAATAATAATTTTACCACAACGTCGAAGCTCGAGCCAATCATGAACCCGAAGCTTTGGGCGACGAAAGCCACTAGCAGACTGATTCCAAAGAACATGGAAAATCTAACGATGTCGTGTGGCTGGTCGGACATGAAGTAGACAATGACGGTGAAGAATAGGCAGCCGATAATCATCACGGGAATGTCAACAACCGTCACTGACATATAATACGCTTTCAAGCTGTACCAACGATTGAAATGTTCCTTCTTCAAAATGTTCATCTCTGCTGGGACTGAAATGACATTGCAAGAAAATATATGACCTTTTAGAGACAATTTCCATTCAATCTCAAATAGCGCGACGACATTTAGTCTTTAATCTCTATGAAATTATTATACAGTACAAAATTATTATACATTACAAGTAATTATTTGAAATTAATGATGCTGTAATGTAAAATATTTGTCGACAATGACGAGTATCGTAACGGTAATAACTAAATTCCTTACTAAGTATGAAAAAAAAAAAATAATAATAAAAAAATTGAGTTTATCAAGTAAAGTGATTCCACGTATTATCGTTATTGGCACAATAAAGCAACGAGCCGTCAATGTACATTAGTATTCAATTATCGCATAATCGTGGTGTTTGTAAGTCCACGTGAATAAATAAATTGACGAGTATCGAGGGAATCGACGCAAACGATCGACGAAACGAAGTATTCGCGAGCATCGAGCGAATGTTTCAAACGGGTGAAAGTCCCAGGCGAATAATGCACAGTGAAATTTAAAACCGCAGTCTCGCTCAAAGTGATTCGAAGCACACCGCCATAGCATCATAGCATAGCATAGCACACCGACAATAAAATACGCATACGTAGCATAATCATCGAATCGAATAAGGCTCGTTAATTTTTCATTGTCGGCGAGTTGATTAAGGTACGGCTCGGTTGCACACAGATGCAAGTTGTCGAATACCTACTGGTTAAGACCGTTAACATCATGGTGGTCATCATGTGATGTATGAGGCAGGCAAACAGGAGATTGTAGTTTTCGATTATGCGATCGGCATTGTTTCCGGCCTTCATAAACAACGTTCCCAGCATTAAACCAGTGCATATGTTTACGACTATTCGTAAATGCGTGAGTGTCTGTAACAAGAGAATCGGAGAATTATCTTTCGTTTGAAAATTGAAATTTTCATGTGATTTATGCGGTGGTACGCTTATTATAAGTCAAAGCTTCGCTAAGGCGACGAATACAGAAAATACGTCAACTAGTTGTTCTAGTCTACTAGTTCTAATGTGAATGTTGAAGAATGTTGAAATATGGAAAAATATTAAAGTTACTTATTCAGATAATCATATTATCATCGAAGCGATGTATTAAATATTCATTCTTATTAAAATTTATACATATATATATATATATATATATATATATTTATTTGTTTGTTTTTTGTTTTTTTTTTTTTTTTTATTGAGTTATATAGCGTATCAGTACTTACAGAGTCTCTTTTAACTTTTATGCCGCCTCTCTTCAACAAGACTTTTATTTGATTCCATTGCGATGTTGCTTGAGGTCCTCGATTTCCACCGTTTTGTTTATTACTTTTTAACGGATTAATTGCTGAAATCACATTTGTAATTTTATTAAAAAAAAAAAAAAAAAAAAAAAAAAAAAAAAAAAAAAAAAATTTTTTTTTTTTTTTATTTTTTTTAAAAAAAATCAACTAGTTGTTCTAGTCTACTAGTTCTAATGTGAATGTTGAAGAATGTTGAAATATGGAAAAATATTAAAGTTACTTATTCAGATAATCATATTATCATCGAAGCGATGTATTAAATATTCATTCTTATTAAAATTTATACATATATATATATATATATATATATATATTTATTTGTTTGTTTTTTGTTTTTTTTTTTTTTTTTATTGAGTTATATAGCGTATCAGTACTTACAGAGTCTCTTTTAACTTTTATGCCGCCTCTCTTCAACAAGACTTTTATTTGATTCCATTGCGATGTTGCTTGAGGTCCTCGATTTCCACCGTTTTGTTTATTACTTTTTAACGGATTAATTGCTGAAATCACATTTGTAATTTTATTAAAAAAAAAAAAAAAAAAAAAAAATGCTTGTTTTACTTAAGTTCGATTTTAAATAAGAAATAAGAAATATAAACCTCTTAAGGATTTGGCATCCAAAAGTGCACTTGGATTGTTAAACCATTTGAGGCTCCTGCCGTTTTGAGTACCCTGAACGAGCGTTTCGATTTTGTCTTCCCCATATTCACCACATGCCAATTCAATTACTACGAACATTTTGGAATGAAATATTTTTACGCCATTTGAATTTACACGTAATAAACGTGTTAAAAAAAATTATGACAAAATTTATAAATGTTTCTGCTCTTAATATATGCAGAGGAAATTATGTTTTTAGATTTTAAATTTTACTATAAACTTTACAGTTTATTATAAATTTGTGTACTTTTAGTAATATTACTTTCACCTACTCGTACGTATGGAACAATTAAATAGACAAAATTGATTAATTATCATAAAGTATGCTTTAGAGTTGATGTTGTGAATAGAAATTATCGCGTACGAGATTCTTTACGATATCAAACATATAAACCATAATATTATGCTCATTAATATTTTCAATACATAATAAACTATGTGCATTAAAGTGTATTTACCGTAATCAGCTGGATTGTGATACATTGGACAGGGAAGTTTGACATTTTCCAAATACGGCACTAAATTATGCGTTGCACCTTGATAAAGACATTCACCTTTCGCTAACACGTATACCTATGAAAAAGGCATTAATCAATTAAAATTACAAATTATAAGTTTAATTAAATATCAATTGACATGAATTTTATTCCAAATTTAGCTTCGTTTATTGAGAAAGCATAAAAGCCAATATAGGATACACAATTCGTCATGAGTTATTGAATTCAAAGTCACGCATATAATATGGACGAATGTATAAGTTGAAAATAAAAGGCAATTAAATATTTTTAATCGGCCATGCATTAATAATTTTCATGAATTATTCATTATTGTTTTTTTTTTTCAAGTGGCGTCTTAAGGCCTTTAAAGTGATAAATTGAGCAATCAAGGAGAGAAATATACAAATAATGGAGAGTATTAGACAAATTAAAATGTAGTACTCGTATTAGAAAATAATTCGTAAAATTAATGAATTGCCATGTTGTTAGAGCCGAGAATGCATGATAAGCATATTATTCATGCAAGAGCTTTTTTCTTCTTTTTCTTTCTTTTTTTTTTTTTTTTTTTTCATATCGTAATTACAGTGTGACGTAGATTGGTAATTTTTCTCACATTACGTAAATAGATAAAAAGATCGTTTTGATGCTAGTAGAGAAAAAAGAAAAGAACAAAAAAACGTTCAACGCTTTAAAAAGTATTCGAATGATTTGATTTAATTAAATTATGACATGTTATCTTCTACCAAAGAACGCAAACGAAGAATGCGACTTTATTGACGCACTTTATTGATTTATCATCGAGTCAATTTTCTGTCATTCGTTGCTTTAAAATACGAGATTTCCGAGGGCTCGTCAATTTATCAAACGAGCAAGAGTCGGTGCGTAAGAAACAAGGACAGAAACGAAGAGAGGCGCGTTCGAGCCAACTATCAACCGAGAGAGAGAGAGAGAGAGAGAGAGAGAAAGAGAGAGAGAGAGAGAGAGAGATACATGCCTGATCAAAAAGCTGGAAAATCATGGCACTTGGTTGATGTATTGTGCATATTATCGTTCTACCCTGGCGTGCAAGCAATTTGAGAAGATTGCACACTTGTGTACAGGATGAGCTATCGAGACCCCTGCAAATATTTCAAAATAATTTTGACCATTAAAAGCCGTAAAAATAAAAAAAAAAAAAACATTGAGAGACTCGAGCGGGAAATTAAATCCTATTTGTATTTAAATATGTCGCGAACACATATATATATATATATATATATATATATATATATGATTGTCAAATGCGATTTAAATAAATATCCGGCCGCTGAGAACAACTACATTCTTTCAATCTGCTCTCATCGTCACAAAATTCAATGTCCAAGGAGCATTTTGCGCATATGCTCATGCTCGTCCTACAAAATTACACGTTAGGCTGATTTTCATTCGAAAAAGGGGAATTTTTCGCTACAATGCCGGATCATTCCCATCACGAAAAGTACATTTCACAACGATAAGGGCTTCTGCTCACAAACGCAGCTCAATACATGCAAATACTTTGAGTGCATACATACATTATACATAACGATGATCGCACGTAGTTTGTGCAGCTCTATTTACTTTATTATAGAAAATAAGATCACGTCGACAGTTAACCGTACGAAGAATAATTATTAAGATCATTGAGCTCCGGGCAAGTGGTCGGATTATCTGGGAGTTAATGAAAAATAAAATGCACGCGACTTACGTCGTCGGCTCGTCGAGGAACAACACCGTCGGGTTGTTGACGAGTTCCAAGGCTATAGAAAGCCGTTTCTTCTGGCCACCGCTCAGTCGACCGGCCAGAGTCTGCAGATGCTCGTAAAGTCCGAGGGTCGACAGGATTTCCTCGATCTGCGTAAAACGAGTTTAATTGCCACGTGTCTTTTCGCCGTCTGCTCCTTCAATTTTCACGTATTCTTTCGATTGTTGTTGTTGTTGTTTTTATTGTTGTTGTTGTTGTTTTTATTGTTTTTTTGTTGTTTTTTTTTTCGTTTTTCGTTTTTCGTTTTTTGTTTTTCGTTTTTTGTTTTTTGTTTTTTGTTTCTTAATAAACATATCGGCTAACAGCATTTCGAATGTGAAATGCGTCAAATCAAGAGTATTGCTTAATTTTGCTCGAAAGGGACAAATATAAACGGCCGAAGAGCCGAAATTACTGAAATGAAAGAATAAGAAAAAAAAGTGGGATGGACGGGGAGGGTAACGAAACTTACGATCGTCTCTTTTTCGTATTTCGGAGTATCGGTGCCGAGCTTAAGATCGGCTGCCACGTGCATATTTTCGTTGACCGTAAGTAACGGCTGCAATCGATCGTCTTGCGTAATATAAGCGCTGGACCTGAAAGGACAATCGGCCGTAAAGTAAGTGCGATTGTTTAGGAGAGGCGAATGTCGCGCGCATGCCCACGTCACAATGGTGCTCGTTAATTTATTCATACGCAAATAAAAGCTGAGAAGCGCGAAAGTGGCAAAACTTGCTTGCTTGCTTGCTCGCTCGACTTTGAGTAATAAGTCTGTGGGAGCTGTTTTGTAAAAAAAAAGTTGGCGCGATCGAATCATTCGAAACGTTCGGCACTTATTACAAATACCGTGAAATATCGATTTATATATATATATATATATTTGGACGTTGGATTATCGAAAGTTGCTCTTAAAAAATAGTGCTGCTGAATTAATTGCTTAAAACTCGAGTGCCGTTACGCGCAATTGCTAATGGAATAATCCAAGGTGAGGAAAGTTCGTAAAAAGGTGTATAAACGTCTCGTTCGCCGTGAGCCTCGGCGACCAATGTCGGCGTAACGAGTATCCGAGTGAGCAAATCTTATGGATACGTATCTTACAGGTACGTCGACGTTTCTTACCTGCGGAAAGAATCCAAGTCACGGACCCGACCATTGATGTAGACTATGCCTTGGACGCCGGTAATGCGGAATCCCGACAAAACATCGAGAAGAGTGGATTTGCCGGCACCCGACGGCCCCATCAGCGCAATCAGCTGCTTCGATGGCAAACGTCCGTTCAACCCGTGTAAAATCTCCTTTGTTCCTAAAGACAATTGCGCAAATTGCGAAACTGGGCAGGTACACTTTGACCCGTAGAAATTATTGCCCACTTGTCGAACGAATGGCTCGAACGATGTAAACACCAAGTAAACTCGATTTTAATCGATTTAGTCATTCGCATATACATGCATTTTGCTCTTCATTTTCTTTAACTTTTACTAATATCGACTCGAACGTTTTCATTCTCATTTATGACAAAATTTCATCGTATTAGAGTTACAAAATTATATCGATACTTAAGCTTCTTGCCACCTTGTAATTGCCAATAATTTCCTTTTTCAATCGATATTATCGTTTAATCTTTGAATGGAAAATTAGTATTCCAGCAGCAGCATTGCATTAATTATCGATGCTCTATGCTTATGAAAAATTAAGTTGAGCCATCTATTATTGTATTTAAAGAAGTGATATTATAATTAAGACGATTTATATTTAATAATTGTTAAGTGGTTAAGTGGTTGGCCGTAGCGATAGGAAAATAGCTCTACTTAGAAATTTAGCATTAGGAATGACTTTCTAAAATTGATTGATTTATCGCTGCACTACCGTTTATTGTCCATTAATTGGAACGCGCTCGATAAAGTAGGAAAGTAAACTTGACAAAGATGAGCGCTCAATCGTGATATTTCCTTATGTTATTGCGATATTGATATTACGTCGATGTGAATTATTATTCAAATGGTATCATCTAAATGCCACGGAATCGTTATGAATCTAGAAAAAGGCAGTCTACCATCGACTCGCTCCTGTTTGTTCAGTTAAAGTCCCTCCTTGTTAGGAGGGACGTCGGACGATAACCTACCTTTCCTCAGGCCGAGGGACACGGTGTATGTGATGTTCTCGAACATGAGGTCCATGTACTCGTCGTTCTTCGTCTTGGAGAAGGGCGTGCCGTTCTTATCACCGTTGCGAGAAGGGGCCTCGATGACGCCCTGTTGATGGCCGGGGCTCGAGGACCTCGCGCAGCAGTTGGCCCGAGACTCCGAGCCGACGGAGCCGTTGCTCACGGCGCTGGCCTCGTGCAGCAGTACCTCCATGGCCAGGATTAATCCGGTTGTCAACGGCTCGCCTTCGCGCCACGTTATCCACTCTCGGCTAGGCGACAATTTATCAAAGTATGTGTTTGGCGCTTATCGCGATGCGTGGATGATGCGTGGATGCGTGGCGTTACGAAAGCCTATTTGCACCGTTGGCTTTCGTGCTTTAGGACACAATTGCAGCCGCGAGCGTGATTATTAATAATGAGCCAATGGGCGGCTTTGTCAGGCGCCATCGATCGCGAGGGGTTGAGTTGATTATTGAGTGGGAGGATCGGGAGTGGCGGGCGGATCGCGGGTCTAGCAAAATCCACAAATGCTTGCACGTTGATTTTTAATGTTATGAAAAGTAGCTCCGAGCGGCTAATTAATTCAGCGATTCCATGCATTTGCCTAACAATTTTCCATGGCAATTGCGAATTGTAATGATCGGACCCAAAATCATTACAAGTGGCGGATAATTCTCAGCGTACGCGTGTAATGATGAACACGAGGTCGAAAATCTTCTCACGACCACTTGCTTTCCAATCATTACTTTTTATTATAAAAGGTAAATTCGAAATAAAAAATTACTAATCATCCGAGATTATAAATAATAATAATTGATAATTATCATATTTATAAATAGTAATTAATATTCAATATATTATTCCAACACGAGTTTATAACTATTAATATAATAACTATTTACCAAGCATAGTCAGCCATTCGATTGAAATTCACGCGAACGTAGAAATTATTATTCCAATGTGATCTACGTGTGTGTTGTGTGTGCGCGTACGTGACTTACACACATACATAAAATATATTAATTTTATCGATTGATTTTTTATTTTTTATTTTCTAAAATTATTTGTAAAAAATAAATTCTTTTACAAGTGTATTATAACGGCTTATGTAATAGCATTGTTATTCTTTGCATCCATTTCAAATTAATCATTCGCCAAAATACTTATCTTGTATTTTGATTTTTAAATGATAAGAAATAATATTATCTACATATACTAAAGAGCACAATTTTATGAAATATAAAAATTGAGCCGGCAAATTTTAAACAATAGGAATTAACATTTACCGTGAATGGTTTTATACGAAAGTAAATATCTCCAATCTATCGAATCCCTGCCTATAATTGTTTTACTTTCAGCGTGTACAGTTACATTGTCGTCATAATTATTATAATTATAATCGTAATGATCAATATAATCGGGAATCTTGATGTAAAGTACGATCGAATGTAACTCGTTTCGTTGTTAAAACTTACATTAAGATAATTTTACAATTTCATAATTTGCAAAATTCAAGACCTTATATCCATACAATGCAACATTGATTTTTAATACTTGCATATTTGTTAAGTTAGAGCATCGAGGGAGATACGAGGAATCGTGATTGAAAACATTTTTTCTCTTTTTAAGATTAAAACTTTATTCAGCTACTTGATGAGCATTAATAAGAAATTTAAATGATTGTTCGGAGTATGAGTGCGTAATATTATGATATCAAAAAGCTATAGCACAACGTATAATATCAATTTTAATTACACAAAGAAGTCTAGAATTTATTTTGAGAAAAGTATTCGAGGAATAAAAAGTATATAGAATATCATAAATTTGTCTTAAAATCAATGACGATACTTATCATTTTATATTAGCTTGGAAGGATGAGGAGAGAAACAAAAAACAAGGGCATTCGAACGATATACGCTATCGTTTTATGATTTTTAAAATCTGATAACTGGTTAAGCAAGATTATGAAATCCATAAAGTCCAAAAGTACAAAAGAGATCAATTAACGAGTAAGATTTGATAGGCTACAAAACTTCTTTTCTAAAGTCGACAATCTTCTATGCATTTTCTTGGCTTTACGTATGATAACTACGACCTTGACCGGGCAACTACAGTCCTCAATATTATTTTATGTTTTGATGAAGACGATAAATAAAATCTAATAGAATTTCTCATTGTTTGGAATTTTTTTAGAAAATAATAATTTTATCATATCTTAGCTACTAAGTTTAATACTTTTAGACCATTGTTAAAGCATGAGGATTAAATTAATATAAAAATTCTTCCTAATATTCGATAGATTTGTTCCGTTCCGTCGACAAATCATTATTACAAAATGTATTAGTTAGTGATTAACAAATTCTTTATTACATTCAATGCTTATAAATATGTATTCGATATGTGAAAGTGAGCTTAACATTTTTATCAAATAACATCATAGATATATGACGTTACTTTATCTTATGATTTGAGCTCAATAAATATCTCGTAATCACGAAATTTTTAATATTCTACATTGCATCGGATATGTAATCGATACGTCCTATTATCCGCAAGTGGTCGAATTTCTTTGGAATTAATCAAATTTCTCTTATATAAAATTTCTTTACAAAAACATGACGTCCCACATAGTCCTATGATAAATTTCATAGTATTTCACGGTGCGTAAAATAATTTAAAAACGAGAAGTTTTTAATAATTCTCTTCTCATCGTAAAGTAACAAATGCTAAAATCACTTATTGTATCATTTACTTATTTGGAATTTGTGTATAAGCAATCGACACGAGCACATAGAAAGTAATAAAGCAACGAAGCGTGTGTAGTTATACATCAACTAATAATTAATTAATTGCTTGTATCAATCATATTGATTGCTACTGGTATTCGAAAAATTCATTCGTCTGACGTTTAAGACTAGCAAACCACTCAATTTAATAATATATACTAACAAATTATATCAATAATTATTGAAATATGTTTCAATACCGACAGTTTAAAAGTATTATTATGTATTATTTGTTTACGCTTCTCCACGGCATCGTAAGATACGCTCATTACTTTTTCGCAAATCTATTCAATCACAATTCTTAAGCACATGCAATTACGTCTTGATCGTCCATTTTAAATTTAACAGCAAGTGATGAACCTTAATTTAAACAATTACGTATTGCATTGTTATTTTTGCTGGCGTATTGCTTTTTTTTTTTTTTTTTTTTTTTTTTTTTTTTTTTTTTGGTGCCTTTGTTTTCATTTTCTTTACTCAAGCTATGACGCAATTAAACATAAGCGTGTTTTTTATGTATTTACATGGTGTTTTATCCTAAACGCAACTTATCATGTTAATAGTTAATAGATAATATTGAACACTACACTACTCAGTTTAATGGAGGTTATTCGCAAGTACAACGCGATAAAATTAATTAGAATTGAATATCAATTCACCGATTTCAATAGCATAAGGATTAGTGGCATTGTACTATTATCCCCATGTCCTCTTGTCGTAAAAGGACTGAATTCCATTATATTACTAAATCGAAATACTCAATAATGTTTCTTTGTAATTAACAATTTATTATATTTTATTTTTATACAAATTTATCGGAATAGTCATGTAAATTATGCTAAATTTGAGAAAACTCTAAATAAACTAAATAAGTATTTTCAGTACTTAACTGAAACTTTATAAATTTATAAATTAGCTATAGAATTCAATATATATATATATATATATATATATATATATATATATATATATATATATATATATGTACATATATGTACATTAATCTTAACTTCTTTTTAATTTTAGGATTTTTGCTATTTTTAACTTTTAACGTTAAAGTAAATCCATTATTTGTAAACTTATTATTAACTTAACAAAAGCATGCTTTCGAACTAAATCAACAAGTATTTTCATTATAATCTAATTCTTTAGAAATATATGCTATTCATTTATCTTATCTTTACAATGAATATAAAATCTAAATTCACAGGATTTGAACTGTCCATTCAGTCTTACGAGTGACATCGATTTATTATCATTTGCAATTATTGACAATATTGAATATGTGTCATAAATAGTTTTTACGAGTCGCCCTTTAATAATTTTCTACTTTATTTAAAAGTTAAAATGCGCGTAATACATAATCAAGCCTCTTCTTTGTTCAAATAGTTCAATTAATATCGAACTCTGTATTGCGTATCATAAACCGACTATAATCGTACGAATTAAAAATAATTTACTATTTTAATTGTTTACGCAAAGGTAGATCGATAAGAGCCTATTTATTTTTCTTATATCACTATTCGCTTTGTTAATTTAATTTAGGATTTTTTCTTACTCTCTTTAGAAAGAATTTCGTATTGTATAATCGATACGTGACTATAGGCTTTTTTCCCAATTGTCAGATAAGCTGAAATCTCGATTATTCTTTATACTTTATAATTTTTTTAATAGAATTTCACAAAAAAAAAAAAAAAAAAAAAAAAAAAAAAAAAAATGCTCTGTCTATCATAGTTTTGACAAAATCATAAAATATACGATTGCTAAGAATGATTCGTAACTCGCGAAAATCTCTGCTCGCTTCGTATCATTATATCTAACTGTGTCATTTTAAAATCTCAGCTTGGCAATAAAACTTTTTCATATAATCATCCGACTATACACTTTTGTCCTCATAAAAGAAAAGTGTTTAATTTTATAATGTATTTACTTTAATCAGATGCACTTTATATTACGTCGGAGTCACAGAGGGTATCTCGACTTAATGCGTCCTGGTGTCTTTGTCTTATTTGCAGCTTACTTATGCGCTTATATGCAATAATTCGACTTAGTTTCAAGAAAATTTAATTCCTTGATAACGATTCTCTATTCATTATACGAAATTAATTGATTAGCCAGCATTGAGTCAATAAATGAAAATACTCCTCATTCTCGCTCAATTAAAAATTTATTCCCATTCGGCGATTGCCTCGTCATTTTTACGTTCTGTCATTCCTCTACGATCTGTCTTACAATTTCTGCCCCTATCACTTTTTATGCTCTAGCTCGAGTTTACGTAATTTAAAAATTAAAATGAAAACCATTTCACGACCTCGCCCCTTACGGATAACCGTCAGAAGCGAATTTGCACGGTTACAATGCGACTAACCAGAGCCTCCTGGTAAATCCAATTGACGCACCAGGGCTAAGAGCACCCGGGCACGGCGCCAAATCTCGTGGCAAATCACGAGCCGCGCATCATGGCCCCCGGAACTCATAAAGAAAAGCGAGAATCAAACGCAATTGAGATAAGGTGGCTCGAGTTGCACAGCCAGCAGCATCGAGCATCAACGTGAAATGGGATAAGGAGTTCGGAGGCGCGTGCGCATCGAT